AGAGCAACTGTGTATCACTTAATTACCTCACTGTTGTGAAAATAATGGATATTCTCGTTTCTTGTAGGCATTGAACCTGAGTAAATGTTTCAGTGAGATTCTTGCAGATCTTGTAGGTAATACAGGATTAATGTGTAAGGACAGAAGTATCCAACCCACCTTACTCTTCTCTGCCAGTGTGCTCTTTACATCCAACCCAGTGAGGCTGGTTCCTTTCTTGTTTCCTTTCACAGCCACTTCTCCCTGTCTTGTCTCTGTGATTTATTTCTTCTGTAGTGGCATGGCATTGTTCTTGGCTCTGCATAGCAACCAGCTGTAAGCTTGCATAGTCAGTTCCAAAAATATAGGAAAATAGTGGATAAATAATTCTAAAGTGATGGTGTCATGGTTTAACCCTTGCTGGGAATGAATGATCTCACAACTGCTCACTCATTCCACCCTGATTCTCTTGCCAGTGGGAAGAAGAATGGGAAGGAAAAAGTAAACCTTGCAGGTTGACATAAGAAAAACTTAATAATTGAAACAAAATAACACAACAACAATAATAATAGGCTGGCGATAGCATAAATATAGAACACTACTAATAATGAATAGAACATAATACTAAATACGCTAATAACCATAATGATAATAATAGTTAATAATGATAAGGAGAGGGAAAGAGTGGAAAAACCTGCAGAAACAAGCAGGTTGGTCAGAATCTGTGCTTAGTTTGTCCTGCAGCAGTGACTGGGGAGTGCTTTGCTTGGATAAATTGAAAACTGGGTGTTAGTGCTCGGTGTGTTGGTGCTGAAGTAGCCAGTCACACTGTATTTTATCTAAGAATCACTAATTTCAGGTACTATTAGAAAAGAATACCTAAGACATTTATTACGTAACTGCATCATTAATAAAAACCAAGCTGTGTATATAATCACTGTGCAATGAGCAAGTCTTTCATTATCCTTTAGTGTTGAGAAGGAAAAGATCATTGAGGATCTTTTTTGTCTTTGATGTAGAATTGGTTTGCTTTGTTTTTTTAATTTTTTTTTTTCCCATCAAGTTTTATGGGATGCTGGATTCCCCATCACATTTTTATCCTGGTTTTCACCTACTGTCTTTGACAGCTGAGTGTTTGTCCAGTTCACTAATCTTCATACCAAAAGTATTTTTTCATGAAATACATTTTTGTATCCCTAGCAACTAGCAAATCCTCACTACTCATATATGTAATCAGGAACTGTAACTTAAATTTTCTAAGGTATTGTCTTCCTGAAGAAATTATTTAGTCCCCAGTGGCAGCCACCTTTGCATTGTAACAGTCACCTGTTAATTCTTATTCTAAGGTTTGTATAAAAATTGGCTGTTCATGTGCATGTGGATCAGAGATCTGGGTTAATATTTAATAAACTTAAAGAACCCTTCACTCTCATTGCATATTTGATGGAAGGTGTGAAAGTGTACCGGACCTAGTGATTGAGCCAAGTGGCTGGGGTTTTTGACTTTACCTCTTTCTTTTCCCCAGAGTCTTGTGTGATAGGATCATAGAATAGTTTCTCTTGCAAGGCACCTTTAAATGTCAAGTAGTCCAAGCCTCTGTCTTTGGGTAGGGACATCTTCAACTAGATCAGATTGTGCAGAGCCTGGCCCAGCCTTACTGGGGATGGGGCATCTACTACTTCTCTGTTCAAGTGTTTCACCATTCTCATCATAGAATAATTCTTCCTTATCTAGTCTGAATCTATGATTTTTCAATTTAAAACAGTTACTGCTTTTCTGGTTGCTACAGGGCCTGTTAAAAAGTGTGTTTACCTCTGTCACAGCCTTTCCTCATAGGAAGAAGGCCCTACGCAGGGCCTGCTCAGCAGGTCCATGTCTTTGTTGTACAAACGACCCTAGAGTTGGATGTGGTACTAAGAGTGGTGGGGTCCCATGAGAGAGGAGTAGAGGGGGAAAATCGTCTCCCTCAACCTGCTGGTCACACATGTTTCTGACTAATGTTCAGCCTCTCACCCACCAGCACCCCCAACTCCTCAGAAGGGCTGCACTCAATCTGTTCATCCCAGCCTGTGTTGATAGTTGCCCCAACTCAGATGCAGCACTAGGCCTTGAACTTCATCACATTCATGTGTGCCCACAGAATGATGTGCAAGCTCCATACATCAGTTCAAGAAGTGGGGAGAAAAAACCCAATAATCATAACAGTGAGCAGGAATTAATTTTCAGTCTTGTGGAACTAACAATGAGGACTGTATTGCAAGCACTCAAGAGGTAAGAGCAAAAGAGCAGTTCCTGCAGGAAGGGAGAGAAATCTTCCAGAAGGGGATACATCACAATGCACAGGAAGAGCACTGTTTTAACAGCTGTCACTGAATAGCTGTTTAGAGACACACACACACACACACACACAAATTTGCTTCTTTGTCTCCATAGCTCTGTGTCTTGCCACATTCTTGTCATTTGCTACATACTTATCATTGTCTCCCTTCTAGAAAATGACCTCCTCTTTTTCTAGAGGTGTTTAACACATCGTAGAACCTGCAGTGGTATAGCAGTTTAACTCTGATTGAAAAGGTACATTGTGTAAGGTTTTTTTAAGAAAATTTGTTGCTTTTGTATCTCTGAGGGATATGAAAAGCATATAGTTCTTTATTTTTTCAGATTTTATAAATATTTTTCAGCATAAATTTGACTCAATTGAAATATAAATGCAAGGATATTTATTATAAAATTTAAATGTGTATGAAGACAAAAGTCACAGTAGTTCAAGTCTTTCTTTCTGTTCTATGAAAAATATTATTTTCCTCAATGGGAATCTTGCATATGTGTCTATGGGAGGAAGAAAGAGTTCAGATAGGTTACCTCAACCTCAGTGACAGTTTTGACCTTTTTTCTATGTGAATTGTTGGGGAAGTATGATAAAATTACATACAAAATAGGAGAAAATGTGCATCTTGTTTTTCTGTAGCATTTAGAAATAAGTTTAGTCATCTTTTTTTGACCATCAATGTAGTGGTATCATCTACATACGCTTTTATTTAGTCAAGGAAGTGTTTTGTATATCAAGTTGCAAAATAAATCTAAAACACCCTGGTTAGTTTGTACTCTGAAGACATTAATTATGGTGCTGTTGCTTATTTGAAAAGAACATTTAACATGGTCTACTTCTGGAAAACCATAAGCGTAGTAGTTCTTAAGTGATTTTTTTATTGGCTCTTGTGCAGCAAAGTGATTTCAATTTTCATTATTTAAACATATAATATGCAAAATTAGAAAAAGAGTTTTCATTGGCTGTGCTTGATAAAATTATCTTTTTAGCATCTGGAACTTCAAGCATAAGCATCCATAATGTCATTGCAGCCCTTTTTGTTGTAGCTGTAAGTACTATTTATTGTTTAATATGTTGCTGAGTTGGGAACTCAGAATTGTCTCTGTATTCCTTCAACAGTGTTGCCACAAATCAGAGACTACTGGTAAATTCGATTTTCTGGGAAAACAGCAATTCAGTATTACATCCTAACATGTTATGTTATGTTTTCATGCATGGGTGTTTTTCCTCACCCGCCCACTCTGATTTTCACCTAGTGTCCTGACAATCTATGATGGCTTCTTGATTTTCTAGAGAAGCAGCTGTAAGGTTTTTTAAATACCTCAGACCATGCTGTAAGAAAATCTGAAGCAAACTTCTGTCTGTTTTATATGCCACTCTGTAATTTTTTCATGTGCTGTTGGAACATGGACATCATTCTTTACTAGCAACTGGTCACAGTTGAACTTGATCAGGAAACATCCTCTGAGAGCTCAATTTTTGACTCTTTATGGATATAGTTGGTTTTTTTTTTTCCCTAGCTGAACATTAGGCTTTTTTGCCAGAATAAAGGAAAGTTCACCTAGGTGCTTGTACTCCAAATTAATATTAAATGGCATTGCTAGAGTGCTTATGTATGACTTATTGTACCTCACATGACCTTAAGAGCTTATCCCTATTCCAAAGGTATGAGGAGAATTCGGCTGTTGTGCACTTGATTTTTTGAGAGCCTTCTTAGAGAAAGAACTTCAAATTTTCCCACTGAAACATGGATTGTCTTTTATCATAATACACACATATAAAGGGTATTTATTGGGAAATGGCTAACCACTGTTACTCTTTCAAATGCCACTAAAGTGTGAATGGTTGTACATTATGTTCAGAAAAAAAATGATAGATGTATCTAACGTTTATGTAATCTGAAGCTGCAAGTGCTCTTGTAGACTGTCTTTTGCATATGAGTGTGCTTTCTACAAATAAGCCCTAGCTTCCCCTAAGAGGAGAATAGTAGCAGAGAGCACTAGGCAGATACCTTCCAAGTAATACCATCAAAATTATTTTTAAAAACTCATTCACATAATTCCAAAATAATATTACTTTAAATTAAATTATCAAATAAGTTAAACCAGTTAAAAAGATTGTCCTGAAGTAGACTGATTCTTCTCACCAGGAGAGCAAGGAAGCGAAGAGCTTTGCTGTGGATTGTGATGCCTGTCGCTGTGTTAATACAGCAGCATGAGGTATTCAGAATTCTGGTGGTGTATAGGCCAATTAAAGTTTAGCAGCATTGTGTTCTACTCTTCCATCTGATAGGAGGGAATAATCAAGTTTGGAATATGCATGTCAGTCTACATTTCATCTTCTCATTGTGGGGAGCTGATGAGCATTCAGTGGGATCAGTGTTCCTTCTAAAAACTGGTTTTCATACTTCTGTTGATTGAGAGAGTGTATTTGGATATATGCACATGAATATATGGAAGTACTTGAATGGATGCACTGATGACTTTCAGTAAGTAGAAAATGCAGTAGGAAGTTTGCCTTTTGGTGAATGTAATAGTGATTTTTGTAGCAGTTTATTGAGAAAACAAGGATATTAAGCTTTGTTCATTTCTTTGTTGGCTATTAAATATAAAGTTTTTTAAACCTAACATGTACAGTAAATGTGTGAAGTTTATTCTGTTTGCTATTTGGTAGAATTTTTTTCAAACTCTTGAAAGTCCTTGACATTGAAGGAAATGAAGGTAACTTTTTCCTTTCTGCCACAGATCCAAACATTTAATGTTGAGGCACCATGCCAGACCGTGGAAGACTTAACAAGTGGGGTTGTGATGGCCCAGGTTCTTCAAAAAATGTAAGTAATTGTTTACTTAAATACAGATGGATGAATTAAATGCACATTTTTTTATATCCGTACATTTTTATATATTACATATGTTTTACTGTGGCAGATATTCCGTAAGGATGTGGCTTAGATGTTACTTTAAACTGGAACATGGCCAGTGATTTTTTTCCTTGTAGTTTATGAATAACTATCTTAAATGAAAAAAAAAAAAGTTTTGTTTTAGAGAAGAGTTTTATTCAAGTGTGGACTTACTGGGAAGTAAGGTAAATTAAAACTAAACTTTGATTCACACTTAAAATTGAAATCAGTGTAAGATAAGATAATTGGCCCTGACTGTTGTTTGAAACTATAGTCAGTAGTGTTAGAATTAGTTTAATGTAATAAAACTTCCATGATAAACTGAATGAAACTGTCAGTTTAATTGTTAGCAGTTGAAAGTATTTTTCAGTTTGTTTCCACTACCCCTTGTCTGTTCACAAGACACCACTGAGATTATGTGAGAGCATAAAGAAGAAGGAGTCATCGGGTTATTTATACACAGGATTGATTAGATCCTACTGAGCCTTCTCTTTTTGAGGCTAAACAAACACAGCTAACTCAGTCTCACCTCATTTGACAGGAACTGCCATCTGTTAATCATCTTAACTGCCCTTTGCTGAATTTCCATGTATGTCCAGTTGTCTCTCTTAGTAGGGAATCTTGGATGCAGCGGTTTGGATATGGTTTTAACAGATCTGAGCAGTACCTCCCTTGGCCTGCTGGCAGTAATCTTCCCAACAGAGCTCAGGTTGTGGTTGGCCCTCTTTGCTGCAAGGACACATTGCTGGAGCATGTTCCACTTGGTTTCTGCCTAGTTTTTCGTCTGCAAAGCTGTTTTCCAACCAGCTGGCCCTCAGTATATACTGGTGAATAAGGTTTTGTTTTTACCTACCTTTTCTGAAATGTGTAAGGTTCCTCGTAGCTTCTTCTCCCAGCTTGTCAAATTTCTCCTAAATGGCAGCACAACTATCAGGTGTGTCAAACACTCCTTCCATTTTCATATTATATGAAAAATTACTCTGTCACATTATCTGGGTCCTTATTAAAGACATTTAATACCATTGACCCCTTGGATATGCTGCTAGTGAACTAATTTCACTGATTTCAAGCCTCTGGCTGGATTTCATGCTTCTGAAACCTTTAAGCCTAGCATTCCAGCCATTTTTCAGCCCACCATGCTATCCTTTTACCCCTGTCATGCTTCATCAGTTCTTCTATGAAGATGTCATCCTGATCAGGCAGTCTATAGCAGGAATCTGTAACAGTGTCACTCATGTTTATCTGCTTAGTCATTCTGACCAGTAATCTCTCAGCTGGCTCATATCCATTCTAAGACAGAGCTCATGCATTCCCTCTGATCTGTTGCAGGAAGGGCGTCTCTCTGTCACTGCCTTCTTAACTTGCTCTTCCTCAATAGCCTGTATATGTTCATGGCAGCAGCCTTAGTATGTGAGCCATCCTACCACAATTTCTTGATCCCAGTGAGACTGTGACCTTGTTAACTACATATAGAACTCTGTTTCTTCCTATTTGTTCTCCATGCTGCATGTTTTAGTACACAAGTGCCCCACATACGCATCCAGTCTTCCTGATTCCCAAGAATGAAGCTTTCCCCAGTCCTGTATTTATGTGCATATGCTTGGTGTGATCCCATTTTCCCTGGTTTGTTGACTATGAAGTGTCTTTCGTTCATATCATTCCTCATCCCTAGTTCTTCAACAGAGTCCACTACTTTGTCACTTAATGTTTGTTTTTCTCTTGTTCCTTGTATAAAACTGTTCTTACCACTTTGGCCAGCCTGTCTGTGAAGATGTGTCTGCCCACCATAGTCTGGTGGATCCCATCTCTTCCAAGCAATCCTTATTTTAAAAAGGATTTAATTGTTGTCAAAACCAAAACTTTGTTGCCAGCAGTATATGCCAGCTGTTTGTTGATCTGTATCAAACCTCCTTCTCACTAACTGGTGCAACAGGGGAGAATACCTCTTGAGCCTTGACCATAGCTTCCAAAGCCACATAATCACACTTGGCACTTTGCAGGTTTCCCTGGCTGTACAGCTTGTGCCTAGGTGGAAGAGCTTTCCTCCTAGTGAGAGAAGCAGCTGCCAGTTCACCGGAAGAATGAAAAAGGGGAAACGGGAAATCTCAATCTAGTCAAATATTTCAAAGCAAGACTTTTTGGCATGTGGTTCTGAGATACTGTTTCCAGCTGATAAACTGATATTTTAAAAATAAATATACAATACAAATATTGCATTTCTGTAGCACGATTTTAAAATACATAAAGATCACCTAAACAATTTAGAATTCTTTCTTTATGTCCTATGTAATAATTTGAACATGCCAAAATTAGTATTCAGCTATCTTACTTTATGATAATTGTGCTTCACATTTAACATTTTGCATAATTATCTAATGAACAGACATATTCTCATGCTGAAATTTAGCAACGGTATTGCTAAATCTTGACTGCATTCCTGTTGGGATAAACTTTGAAGAGCAGCAACAATCTGATCTTAGACTGTAGTCTGATCTTGGCAGGAATGATAGCGTGAACAATCTCTAAGAGAAAATATTGCTTTTTTTGTTCTTCTTTGTAAAACAGAATAAACAGAAGATAAGTAGTATAAGATGTGTAACAGACAATTAGTCTTAACTGATTTTTGAAGTAGAAACCAAGGATTGTAGAATAGCCAAACATTTTTTCTTTACCTGGACATGAGTTTAGAATATAGGTCAAATACAGGGATCAGCATTTGTATAATTGACTAGAAAACTGACCAGGAGCATGTTGACAAAGCCATTTAAAATATTCTTTCTTGAGAACAAAACCAAATTCAACACTAGCAGTGAAATCCTCCTTTGATCCTTTGGACAAATGCAACAGGAAGAATACTTTGCTGGGAGTCAGGGCATGTTCAACAGTGTGAAGCAAGCCTAGGTTTTTTTTCTTTTTATGTCAGCAGCACTGGTTCCCACTCTGTCCCAGGAAATACAGTCATGTAGAAGACAATTTTTGCAGGAACACAGCTGCATACTTAAGGTTATTTGGAAAACTCATGCAGTGATGCTAAATAGCAAAGAGCAAGCCTGAAAGCACCAGGTCACTGTCTTTGACATGAAAATCTCTCAAAAAATTAATCTTCAAAGGAAAAACATGTTGTTTTGACTACAGACAGAACTTAAATGCCAGTTCAGTTATTCTATTGAGAAGGATAAATAACTGTTTTTGTAATTTGTGTTCCTTGAAAATTGGGTGTTTCTTTGGATGGATGCTTCCTATTAAAGGTTCTTTTTAAGTGTGCATTCATTGAGCCTAATAACAATGGGATGTTAATTAGGTAAAAGAAGGGAGGGGAGAGTTCTGGCAACTTTATGTGCATCAGGATTTTACTCTAGTAAATGAATTAATTTAAAATAAATTTAAAAATTAGTTTAAAAAATAGCTGAAAGAGCAGATTAATATATCCAGTAAAGAAGAGCACAGATGAAAATTTAAAGATGTTGGAGTGGTCCAGTGATCTGGATAGATTTCCATATAGGGGAGTGAGGGTGGCATTTTTTCCAAAAAACTTAGAGGTCTGATAGTGAACTCTACCATTTCTATTTTTTTTTCCTTTGATCTACCTTCATAGGAAGAGTCCACTGGTACTTATGAGGATTGGAGATAGTAGGTCATGATGAAGAACAGTTTTTGAGAGATCCCTAGCTCAGGGAATTAGTTGTTTTAGACATACATAAAACTTGCACACAGCAGAACTGTAGGATCTATTGTCAGAAGAGAAGAGGAAGAACATTGCTCATCAGTTGATAAAAAGCAGCTGTGCCTTGTGCCAAGTAGAAGGGGTTAATAGTTTTGTCTATGGTTCTTAATTTCTAATACATCATCGTCAGTATTTTTTGCACTCACAGTAGCAGCCCATTTGTAGGTAAGTGCCAGGCATCACAAGAAATGTAGCAGAATTTTCTTTAACAAAACTGCTGGGAGAAGCTGTGAGAAGAAAAGGTTACAGAGGAAGTTACTGACACCTTCAGAAGCTTTTCACTGTTGATGCAGTGTGTGATAGCAAACTGAAGTCATGTTCTAGGTAACTGAACATGAACATTTTGTGTGCAGTCTCAGCTGTTAAAAAACAGGTGTTACTAAATTCCTGAAGGACATTTTTTTTCCTTTGTAGCATTAAAACTTTATCTACGAATTTCAGCTTGAAGTTAGACTGAATGTAATTCTCTAGTGCTAACTGTATTATCTTGGAAGAAGAAATTCAGCCTATGCTTTAGTTTATCTTTTGTGTGTTACTCTGTAAGATTCATTGTTTCTATTCAGATGTCGTGATCCATTGGACTAGTATTGTTCTCTCTGACTAGCACTGATGTGAAATACAGTAAGATAAAATGCCTCTACACATTCAGTGTTGATGATTAATTTAAAGGGTGTTGTACTCCAGGAGTAAAGGGTAGAAGCAGAAGAAAATGTTTAATTTTTTTATGAATAGACTGTTGGCCTAAAATTGTGTAGCTTGTGCTGGTAGGAGTGCCATAGCTCACTTCTGAATCACATCCTTTTTTTTGTGTAGCCTGCACTGATACTACTCATGTTTTCACTGTCCACTGATATCCCTAGAATAGCACCATTTCCTGTTTTATACTACATTTTAAAATCTTCCTTTCATCCCACTCTGGAGATTGTTTAATATCAGGTGTCCCTCTTGTTTTGATTCTTTCTTCCTCAGTCATACTGGCCCTGCTAAATGTAAGAAATGGTACATATTTTCTTTTGTTGACTGTGTGTTGTGCCCCTCTCAATGAATTATTCATTTGCTATATTATACCTCGCAACACACTCTCTATTTTTTGACACATGCAAAACACAAAAGTCATGCTTTTGTATATCACTGGGGGAGGGAAATTTTGTAAACACGTTTTTTGAAATAGCTTACTGTACCACTGTTAAAATGAGTAATAATCATGAGTTATACTACATGCTCTGTGGGTTGGTTTTCTTCAGAAGAGTATTTCTGTCTCTTGGCATCTGTAACGCAGAGAGATGATTGCTTAAATAAAGGAAAATTTGCATACAAAATAAGATGGAGATGGTATAAATGAGCACTGCTGAAAACATCACATGAAGTGATAAAGCATTAACAACAGCATAAGTATCTTGTGCTCTGAAGAAAAGTCCCAGTTATCTGCAGTACTACTGAGATAGTAGGCAGCAATCAACTGATACACAAATACCTTTCTAAACCTGAAAGTTATCCAGTTCTAGAGGTTATATAAGTTTGGATCTAGGCTCAGGAGCTTACTTATTCAAAATAATTCATTATAGTTCATGCACAAGTCATCTCATGATAATGAAGATTGTACAGTCAGTTTTCTGATAGTTTAGCTGCCACACATTTTGGTATTTGCTTGTGATGCTTTTTCAAACACTGTAAGAAGAATGCTGTTGCTTCCAAATGAAATGGCCGAAGGTGGTTAAATAATTCTGAATTTGATTGAATCCTGACCCCCAAAAATATAGTGAAGGGAGACTTGTTTGAAGGAAGTGCTGTGAATGACCTAACATCTGGAAGCCCCTTTTAAAAAATTTGTTTAGAAATTCTTGTGGAAAAGTTGTTATTTCGGGTTTGATTTCCAATAGTTTGTTATGTAGAGAGAACATTGCTGTTGGTATTAGTAATGAACTTTAATTAGACTTTTGAAGAGAAAGAAAATTATAATGGTAGGTGATATAGATTAAGGAAAAGGGTGATCGTTCTAGATTTGATTTGTGTTGATACCCAACTTGTTGCTTTTCTGCTTATTGTATTCCTAGCGAAGTGTTTTTGCAGTGTGCTATTAATTACTGTATAACCTGTATAAAGGTTCTCTAAAAAGAGTTGTTAATGCTGTTTTGACCACTGTTACCTGATATTGATTTCAACTGGATTGCTTATCAGCTGTTGGACCCTTGGATACTTCCATGAAGTTTGTATACATACAAACAAAAAAAGCAAACGGGATCTGTGGAAGAGGACTACTACACTGAGTTTAGATTTATTTCTCAGAGACCTTCCTCAAGTATGTCTAATGACATATCTAAGGGTTTAGGTACCCTATGACTTTCATCAAGACTGTAAAAGAGTTGCTGGTACATGTTTTACTTAATTACAGTAGTAGCTGAGAAAAGCTGCTTAGTTTCTGCTGAATTTAAGACTTCCAGAGTGAAGTGAGTTGGACCTAACTGTGAAATCTTTTTACTGTCTCTCAGCTGATGCCCTTAGTGGTGCTGTTATTGTTGAAAACTGGATATGCAATATCAGCTACCCATTCAGTCCAAATACAATTTTGCTGTTTATACTTACCTACATTGTTTCTGAGAACCAATACTTACCATGAAAGTGGTATGTCAAGGATTGATATATTCATGCCACTGAAGCCTTGAAGCAGCTGAAGATAAGTGGCCAAGTTCAACCCTTAAAATTATAAGGCACAATCCTTAAGGGAGTCTAGTTGGGTTTTGTTGCTGGGGAAGCACAGGTCTTACCTGCTTTCTTTCTCAGCTGCATAAATACTTCATAATTGTGAGTCTGTTGTTAAACAAGCTTGCTTGTATGTTGGCAATTCCCAGAAGATCCATTTGACAGTCTTTAGGGTGTCTTTTGAACCCCACATCTAAAATGGAATTGGAACTGTCATTCTTTTAAATAATTCATTTGATGATTTTGCTGTGATTGAGTGTAAATTAGGCAAATGAAAGCTTTTTAATTAAGGATTTTTGCAAGAAGGGTTATTTGTTTCTTGTAAAAGTTGAAGGTGAACTTTCTTTATATGTCAGAGACCCTACATATACTTGAATCAGTCATTCTTAGGTTTGCTTATCTTCTTGTGGCAGAGAGGCCGTAAAAGCTATTTAAAAACATGTATTTAAAAAACAGATGATAGTCTGGATAACACATTGCTTTTTTTATTTTGTAATTTAAGTTTCTGTCATCTGTGCTAGAACTGTACTCTTTTTGAATGGAAGCAATTTGTAATCATCAACTTAACTAGTAATTAAAGCTGTTCTTCCAGATATATGTTTGTGGATGCCATGTCAAGGGAAATGAAATATGCTGTAATCTTCACTGGAGTCTGTAACAAAGTGTGTAAAAATGGCAATGAAAATGTGTCAGTGGAGAAACATTGCTGTTTGTGATCTTCCTCCACTGCTGTGTATTGTAGTTGTAATACAGCTTGCAGACCTTGAAGACACTGTAGAGAAGATGGAATACAGCATGTGCTACGCATCAGATGCAAAACATGGCTGCAAAGTTTGCGCTCTAATAAAAGTACTGAAATAATTGCTGGTTTGCAGTATATATGATATAGATGTTATTTGAATCTCCAGGCATATTCGGAGTTTTCTTCAAGTTTTGCCAAAAGATCTCATGGCATCTTGCCCTTAAAAAAAGAGCTCAGTCCAGAATCCTTCTATGTGTAAAAGCTGCAGTGGCAAATCTCATAGTAATCAGTGGCAAGTGCAGCAGTGTAAGTCCAGAAAATAGAGTATTTCACCTGAAATTGTAACACAAAATCTTAAGAGCATTTTGCTAACAATAGAAAGGGTTTTTTCGCTCTGACTGTATTAAGTTTTTATGTTGGATGAAATATGAGCCTTTCTTTATGTTTTCCTCTTCCTTTAAACCAGTTATATGGAATACATTCTTTCTCCTTAATTCTGATTATAGTGTTTCCAAATTCTCTATGATAAAGGGAAAGTTTGACTGAACTGAGCAGTAGAAAATGTTAGCCTTTTAGATGATCTTTGAGCTTGGCAACAGGAGAGGGAATCTCAGGAGATGTCTTAAAGAAGCAGTTTGTGGAAGATGCTTGGAGAAAAATTAATAGGGAGAAGTCCATAGAGATAGAAGTATACTCTGCAAGCAGTAGAAAAAAGAAAAAGCACTGTTCTTTTTCTTGATTGCCTTGTCATAAGTGCAGAAGATAGAAAAACTTTGGAGGAAGGGTGTTCACAAAAAGATTTGGGTAGGGTTGCTGTGAAAAGAGATTGTCAAAAACTGATAGTGTTTGGTAGATGAAATAGTGAAGTGTGTTCTTAGTCATAAAAACTTGAGGAATGCTTCCTGGTTCTTCTTGCTGCATTAAGACAGCGTATGTATTGTTCAGTTTCAGGCTTTTATTTTAGAAGTTGAATAGTTGCAAGCAGTGTGCAATAGTAGGGATCCATAATATGTGGAAAAGTAATAATTTTTAACACTTTTAAGACATGCAAGTAAATATTGCTGCAGCACCAGAGGAGAAATTAAGAAGTAGGACTTACAAGGGGAAAACTGGCAAAATGCATTCAAAATACAAAGAAGCTTCCTCAGCTGCTCATGGCACACAAATGAAGCTGTGCTGTCAAGAGGGTGCAAGATCTTCGAAAAGTGAGTACTAACACAGTTTTGAATGACTATATTCAGGCAATGTGTCAGATACAAGAGGTAGTAATTTAAATGAATTCAATCCTGAGATAGGAGCTTCATGACTAATGTGTACTCACAATTTATGTAACATGTTTTTAATGAAAACACTTTATCTTTCAGAGATCCAGTTTACTTTGATGAAAATTGGCTGAACAGAATCAAAACTGAAGTAGGAGATAATTGGAGGCTAAAGGTATTTGACTTACTTTGCTTGTCTGTGAATCTGTATTTCAGTTCTTTATACATATATAATATTGTCTAAATATTCTCACATTTCTGGATTAGGATCTTGCTTTATAGACAGTATTTTAAATTTTAGACCATTTGAATTATGCTTACTTGTTCTTATGTTGTATTTTCCTGCACAGTTTTAGCAAAGATGTCTTGAATTTTTAAACAGGTTTTAATGATTTAAAAGGATAATAAGTATTATGTATCAATTACATCTTTTTTTTCAAATGTTGAATGAGATATTTTCTTTTTTAATGCACACTGTGAAAGTAGCTTTTAAAAAAGCAGCTTTTGTGAGGAGAAATTGTATAAAAATAGAAACATAATAAGAAATATAATTAAAGAAAAATGGTAAAGCTTCCTTTTGCTTTCTCAGGTCTGCAGAGCTACTGAGTTTTAAGGGAGGAAGTCATGTTTTTTATGTGTTTCTACTCAGCATGGTTTTTAACTACAGTCTGTTGGCTGGGTCATTTGTATCACTTGGCATTCTAGCACTTCTCTTCAAACCTGAAGGAAATAGAATTTACAAGAACTGTGAATGAGGAACATTTTGCTTTAGAATCTGAAGAACATGCAGTCTCACATGCAGATGTTAGTGTGGCTTTTGGCTAGTTTTGTTAAGAAAATGATCTATGTGCTTTTCTAAATTTTCATTTTCAGCCTGACTAATTTGAGGGAAGAAAAATAGTTAAGAATTTACTGTTAGTTCTTGTTTCTTGTAAAACCATCTTGTTCCAGCCACCAAAACCCATTCTTAGCATCTGGGGAAGGACTACAACTGTGAAATGCTCTCGTACTTACAGGCTTGTCTAGATCACTTTCTGAATTGCAGGAACACACAGAATGCTGCCTGAGACAAAGATGGAGCGTACTACTGTTGTTTATGTTTTAACTTAGCCAGGAAATATATCAGCATGGTTTCTGCTGTTTGGCCAGCTGCGTGAAGTCTGGAATGCTTTAGAATGTTTTGTCTGCTAAGGCTGCCAGCGAAAGTGAGGGTACATTGACAAGGATATGTTGATCAGTGAATAAAAGACATGATCTCTGAAAGAGCTTTAGGACTCATTTCCTTCTTCTCTAGAGTACTTAATATAAATGAACTTCTCAAAGAATTGTATGGAATTGCAAGTGAACAGTTAGATAAAAGGTCTTTTCTGTAAAATATTTTTTGGGTTTTTTTGCTAAGGAATGTTGAAGTCTTGGCTGTTAAATGTGGGGGATAACAAACTGAGAACTGTTCATTATAGGAGCATTTGAGCTGATTGAATGTGGAGCATCAGCTTTTATAACTGTCATATAGAGTTTGAGGAATAAATATTTTATTTTTATGTCTCCCACCAATTTGGCAGATGTAAAAGCTTAGCAGGTGTGAAAGGAAAAAAAAGCTGAGCAGTCTAGTAACTTCCTTATGTGACTGAGGTTGGCAAAGCATCAGGTCAAATTTCAGTTTCTTGCTGATGTCATTCCATCTTGTTTTTCAAGTGTCCATGTAAACAAGAACTAAAGACTGGTTTTTTGATTTGGTTTTTTGTTTAAGAAATATGTATAATTCAGCTTTTTCTATACATTTTTATAGGCTACTTCCCTCTTAATGAATAATACTAAAAGGCACAAATGTGATACTTTAACTCTTGTTTTTTAATCAGGAAAGTAATCCTATACTTTGCCAACTGTTCTTTATATGTAAGCATTATTAATAGTCTAGTTTTCCAAATGTCTATCATCTAATCCTTCGTTTAAAGTCTGGCTTGTAGGAACACTTCAGTCTGTGCATTTCTATTCATAGAATTATTCAGCTTGGAAAAGATGAAGTTGACTTTACCAAGTCCACAGTAAACCATGTCCCTAAACTCCACATCTACACCTTTTCTAAACACTTCCAGGGACAGTAACTCTACTTCTCTAGGCAGCCTGTTCCAATGCTTGACAATGCCTTTGATGAAGAAATTTTTCATAATATCCAATTTTAGCTTCCCCTGGTGGAACTCTTGACCTTTCATTCACTAAGAGAAGAGATTGGCCCTTAACTCACTACAACCTGCTTTTAGAAGTGTACTCACTACTAAATTTAAGATGTGCGCATCATACTTGTATGACTGTAGAATATATCTTTTGCTTCATACTTTAAGTGCCATGAGAAGTAATAATTGTATTATCTCAAATGTTGTGGTAATTACTGCATTATTTTCTTGTTGCTAAACACAGTCATTATTTGCCTCTGATGCCATCTGGTATAACAGTCACCACTTGCTGATACCAAATCAAGCTCTTGGTATCATGAACCACATAAAGGAGGGCTGGTAGAGATTATTGTAACCACTGCTCATAGAACTATTCAGAAAATGATAGAATCATAGAGTTGTTAAAGTTGGGAAACACCTTTGAGTTCACCTGTCACCACTGTGTTCACCACAACCCATTATTTCACCAAGTGCCATATCTGCACATTTTTTGAACAGTTCCATGGATGATGACTCTACCATTTTGCTAGGCAGTCTGTTCTAATGCTTTACAACCCCTTCCGTGAAAATCGTATACCTAATATTTAACCTAAAATGGTGCCACTTGAGGCCATTTCTTCTATTCCTGTCACTTCTTACCTGGAATACCTGGAAGAAGGTAATTAGTGATGTGATCGTTAATTTTAAATTGTGTGTTGTCCTGTATGGAGAAAAATCAAGTTGGTTTCTTTTGTTTTGCTTTGATTTTTTTTTGGTTGGTTGGTTGGTTGGTTTGGTTTTTTGTTTTGTATTGGTTTGGTTTTTTTGGAGGGGGTGGGGGAAGGCATGGGTTTGGTTAGTTTGGTTTTTTTAGCATTTCACTTTCTGATAACTGCAATGTTTTTGCTCTTGCTGTACCATTAAAAAAAACCCAAACTCACAGAGATATTTTTTTAATTCTTAGTTTCAAGGCAGGTTGCCAGACTTGAGAAATTGAGCAATGCACAGGAAAGAAAAAGGGAAATGCTAAAACTTGGGGAGTTTGGGAGCTTGCAAAGTAGGAACCATTCAGCATGCATTCTGGTTCTTAGAGCTGACTAGATCTTTGTCTCCTGTATTTATTTGAGAAATGTTATTTCTCCAGGGTTAAAATATCATGCTCATAGCATACATGTGAACATATATATGTACATACATTAGTACATATGTGTACATAGTAGTATGTGTTTTCCCTTGGGCAACACAAAGCTTTTCACTGGTGCCTTATCTGCAATTTTATGATAGTTTACAAAAAAAAAAAGGCATTATCTCTTTCTCTTTTTCCTCATGTACCATGAACACTTCTATATAGTCCAGATTTAAATGGTGTACAAAATAGGATTTCATGGCTGGGGAAGATGACATCTTGAACATAAAATCTATACTGAAAATGAAGAGTAGCTTAGAAAATAGTTGGCCAAAATTTTGCAGGAATGAAATTCCCTAATCAAGAAAGAAATTGCTGATTTGATACGTCCACATCAGTTTTGGCAATTACAGAATAAACTGTTGGCTGTCTGAGGGATGGCATAGAATTGTCTCCCTTTCCCCCCATTACCTTCTATTCAGTGTGGGAAGGTTAGGAAGGGAAGGAAACACATTGTTCAGCTAGATTTCTGACGTTTTCTTCTGAACTTTTCATTTAGCATTCAGACTACAGCATCAGTTTAAAGTATAGTTTTATTTTAGTGTTACATAGTAGGTGTTGATAGTAGCAATCTATGTTAGTCTTGTGAACCTTCACTACCTAGCCTTTCTCTAGGTTCCATCTATAATCAGAGATGAGACATGCTCCTGCAAAATGAAGTTTAAATCAGAAACCAAATGCCTGTGAGAGTGATACAAGCAGTGCACGCACCCACCCCACACCCCCATGCCCACCCACACCTCACCCCACCTGTTAACAGTAAATTGCAAAAGGATAAAAATGTACCTTAATGAGATATCTGAAGCGTATTGGTTGAGAATTCCCACACAACTTGAAAGTGTGACCTAGCAACATTTCCAGAGGTTATTCGAGATCTGAAATAAAAAAAGAAAAGCTGCTTTACACAGAGCCTTCAGCACAAACAGGGTTTCAGTCATACATGTGATGTAAGGACAATGCAGACTTGGATACTGGCTGTCATAATCTTGACTTTTTGAATGTCAAGAAGTTAGATAACCCATACTCCCTTGTTTCACAAGCTTAAGGACATTTTCTATTGCTCATGTCATTCCCTTTGTTGTACAATATATTAGTAAAGAGAGAAATCTGGACAGACTGCCCTTACAAGCCTGAGAAACAGTAAGTATGACAGGTGAGAATAAAAGAAAAATAGGAATAAAAACAAGCAACTATTAAGTCCTGTGGTGTTGGCAGATCACATAATCTCTGCTTTCATTCCAGTCAGTTTATCAGGTTAATGCTGTGTATTGAGGGTTAGTGTCATACTGAGCATTGTCTCCTTAGTATGTAGTGCTATACTACAGCCAAGATGGCTGTTTGCAGAGAGGGTAATGATAATTTAACCTAGAGAATACCCACACAACTCTGGTGCGGGTATTAGTGAAATTTAGGTGTTCAAAGAATGAGTGAGAATATTCAGGTTGCCTTTGTGAATGCAGATATCCTGTCATTCATAATAAGAGATTGAGAAAGTAAACCAGAAAGGCCAGATGGTAAAGAGATTGAAAATGGATAGAGGTTTGTCTAGAAATATTAATGGTCCATCTGTGGTGAATTGCAACAAATTTCTGAGGTGAAATAAGGTATAGTTGTAATTTTTTTTTTTTTTACCCCAGTAAACTTCACATCTTTTCCAGCAGGAATATGGCTGCAGGGATGAATGCTAAAAGGTGTTGGGAGGGTAGAGTTTATATTTTTATGTAAAAGGTAGAAGTCAGGTTGCTGATGTAAACAATTAGACATCCCATGTAGTCATGGGCTGACATCCAAACAATGATTTGGTACTTTATAGTCCTAATCTATATTGGCAATGCTGTCTGTTGTGTTCTGACATTGCGTAATTTAATGATCTTTGTTAACTACAGTTAGGTTTTCTTATGTGCACCACCTGTTATGACTTAGAATTCTGATCTTATTGGTTGTCTTTAACACTTTCTTGGGCTGTTGTTCATTTTCATTCAGGTGCTTGAGGTCTTCCCTTCATATGCTTTGACCTCAACAATCTTGCCGGAACCCTTCAGTTAAATTTCACAGTACAAAGTATTAGTGTTAGTTTCCCTCTGATGATCCTGTCTCTGCCAGGGGCAGTAAATCCATCTAAGTTTATTCACTGCAAGCAAGTTAGAAAAAAAATTGAGAGCTGTCTGAGTAATACTGAAGATCATGATTAAATTTAAGTCAATCTTAAAAGAAATCTATAAAAAAGCTGCTTTAATGTCTGATTGTGTGCCACATACGAAGATGGTACAGTTACTTCTTGAAAGCAGGCTACTCTGGTACTGTTGATTGACTGTGGGATGAAATAGGACTGCAAAGATTTCTTCAAAAGGTTTTCAGTTTGTTTGCTGTTCTCTTCTTTCAAGGATGCTGGCCTGTAAGCTCATTTTTGTGACAAATTTTGATCAATACAGGTTTGTTCCAGTATCTCAAATCTAAGCGCTATAAAAGTTACATGGAAGAAGGTGACTGTGGTTAAGGGATTTTAATTAAAAAATGCTTACAAGAAGAGAGGAAAAGAACTATTTCACAGGTTTCCGTTTAGTTTCTCATTTTTTTTGGGATTATGTTCAAGTTCAAGGTTCCTCACAATATTCTCATCGGTAAACTGGACTTAAATTCTGCAACATGACCCTTGCGTGGCTCTTTCTGCAGCAGACTCAGGTAAATTATAAACCAGAAGATTTTAATTAATCAAGTTTGAAAATAATATTCCAATCAGTGCGCTATCTTTTGTGGTGATCTGACATAAAAATAAAATCTCCTAATTTCTTTAAATTCTTAAATCTGTTGCAGACTTTGGTTATGATTAGATTTGGTTAATGATTGTGCATTGCCTTTGAATGGTGGTCTTGATTGCTCTTTGGCAGACACCTAGGAAGTGTCTCACAGAACCATGCTGTGTTGCATGTAATAGTACTGGAAAAGTCCGTGCTTTAGTGTAGAGGTTGTAAACTGCTTATTCTGACATTATGGGAGAGATAGTAAATGTTCTGCTTTATGTGCTATAATGTAGCATCTCAAGTTCTCATTCTAGGTTGTCAGGATATTTGATGTGTCACTTTTCAGGTTCAAATGATTTTTTGTTTCTTATATTACTTAAAATTCAGTGATTATGGATACAGTCAAGAATGTTCCTATATCTTAATAAGGAATCAACTTCTGGCACATGTTTCCAAAAGGAGTAGATTAATAGGAGTCAGGTAATCAGATTGTTACCACTTTGGTTTACTTGGCAAAAAATATTTTAGTGTGTGTATCCTGTTCCTTTCTTAAATTTGGAATCTACTTTGATCGCCTCATTTTGTTTGCTGACCACATTGAAGTGTTGAGTTTGTCCCTGGATTTCAGCATCACGTTTCCTAACAGCCGTCAGGTCATTTGAAAGGTAAATAGCTTCTGTCAGTGGACAGAATCTCCTAACTGCGTATTTGTAGAATGCAGTCAAGAATGTAAAATTTATTGTGGGCTTGAAAGACAATTAGAACTTGAGAGGTTTTGCTCTCCCTTCATTGCAGTTCCAGTCTGCTGCTGTGGCTACTGCATTCAGTGAGAGGACTTGGTGGATCTTGTTTCTATCAGTTTTAGTCTTTGCAGATCCTGTTTAAACTTCAGTCATACAATCATTAGGTTGGAAAAGATCCATAAGATCTTAGATTCCAACCATGAACTGCCAAGTCCACCAATAAGTCCCAGTACCGCATCTACATGGCTCTGCACACCACAGAGATGGTGACTTAATCATGTCCTGGGTAGCCTGTTAAAATGTTTGATAACCCTTTTTGATAAAGAGATGTTTCCTGATACCCAGTCTAAACTCTTCCTGGCAAAACTTGAAGATATTTTCTCTTGTCTCATCTCCTGTTACCTGTGAGAAGAAGCTGACATCCATCTGGCTACACCCTCCTTTCAGGGAGTTGTAAAGAGTGATAAGGTCACTTCAGAGCCTACTTTTCTCCAGGCTAAACAATTCCAGCTCCCTCAGCTGCTTCTCTGTCCCAGGAAACAGTGCCCTGCTTCTATTACCTAAATTATTTTCTTAAATACTTGAACAGTAATTGGTGGTAATCTTTAGCAGTTACTTTCAGCAAAGTCTTCTTTCTTGGTCTGAATTTCACCTGTAAAACCAATGGGCTTTTTTACAATTTTAAACACGCTATTTTCAGAGACTTGATGCAAATGGATTTTTGCTGGGAAAGGAGCAATACTCTAGTACTAGAGAAATGTGACATTATTCTGTACAGCAGGAGGTACTTAAGTGGTGCCATTGGTTATTCAAGTGAACAGAAGCTACCTCTGTATAGCAGTGAAGTCATCACAGAGAAATGTGAATTTTGCCAGATACTGTTAGAATGACATTCATTTGTAAAAACTGGGAGGGGGGAGGGGGGGGACAGAGGATGACAAGAACAAAAATGAAAGCACTAAGAGGAATAATTAATGAGAAAAATAACAAATTAAGCTTTTATGGGTTGTGAATAAAGGATGATATTCAGCAGTAGCTGGTTTTGGTTTGGAAGAAGTGGTTTATCTCTGCAGAAAGTAGATTACTAGGATACTTCAAGAGAAGAAGGGAGGAAATTAATGTTTCAACTTCTGGATGCAAAGATAATACCAAGATAAACAAGTATCTTAAATCATTCATGCTGTAGAATCTGATTTAAAGCCTGTCCAAGACAATGTTATATTTTTCATAAATTTAAATGGGTTCTATGAATTAATAAAGATCTGTGATCACATCTGGAAGTCTGATCATAAGGGCCTCTTGCATAACTTGCATGATTCTAAATTTAATTGTGGGTAAATAGATCTAATTCTGTCTTTCTTTTGTGTGATTCTTCTGTGGTCACCCACTTTATGATCATTTCTTTGTAAAATATTCCCTTGTATTCCTCCTTCTTGTCAAATAGGTAAGCAACCTGAAGAAAATTTTAAAAGGAATACTGGATTACAACCATGAGGTAAGACCTTCTTACTGTATCTGCCTTTCGAGTTCTGTATTTAAGTTAAGTTGTAAATAAGTTGTACTCTGCAGGTTAAATTATGACATTTTCTTGCAAACATTTTGACATATATAGTGATTCATGACCTATTCCCTAGTCTTGGCCTTTTTTAAAACTTCTCACCTGCTTTATTGAATACTCAGGAGTTCCATGGAAGACTGATACACAAATTTTCTCATGTAAAGAGTAGATGGCTTTACTGACTATAGTCTGATGATGGACTTTGTGTCTGAGGTATTGTAATGTATCTGTGATTTTTTTTCTTTCCTCTGCAACTGAAATGCTCTTCTTTCCTTACTTTTCTCTTGAGGAGAGTTTAGTAAAGAGCATTTCTAGCCTTTTCCCACATGAAGATTTTAAACAAAATATTTTAATTCTGGGGTATTGGACTCAGCCCTTGTCATTCTCTCGTATTTTGGGCAAACACAGCACTTAATTATTCCAGAGGAGACAGTACTTTTTCTTTTAGTGGTGAATATTCAGCTGAAATACGCTTTCAGTGATGTTTGAGACAAATTGATCTGAACGGGGGTAACACAAAATCCATAATATGCATGTTCTAGACATTGCTTGTTTAAAAATATTGTCTTCTCATAAATAGTACAGAGATGAAGTTATTTATTAATAAATTGAAGTATTTTAGAAAGAAAAATATAGTCTTAGGACGTCATCTTCAGTAACTGATTAGGTATCCATGTTTAAATAAATGTGGAAAACTACTGATTAAGCAAGCTGGTCATGACTGTAAACACTAAAAAGAAACAGATCAGGATTTTGTTATAGAAAATTAATATTACTAAGACAAAGTGATACAGTTTTCTTTTTGATTGGTTAATATGTATGATAATTAAGTCTTTGGTGTAAAAACCTTACTATTAGGCAAGTTCTGAGTGGTTTCAATTTTTAATTTGTGTGAAGGTAGTGCACGCTTATAAATATGACTGGATTTTGGTTTAGCTTGGTATTTTTCCTGCTGAGGCAATGCTGGGGGTGATAGTAGAGGTAATCTGGATTCTACTTATGAATTCTGCTTATGTTTCCCTCAACATTCCCTCCTCCACTACAAAAATATAGATATGTAGGTGGATTTTACCTGATACAGCTAAAAGCCTTTGAAAAATATGTAAATGTTGTCCATCCTCAAAAATTCAGAAATTTGTCTTGTGTTCAGAAGAACAATCAGTAAAAATGCTACATTTGCTGTCTTTGTCCATTAAAGTATAGATGAACAACAAGCTTAAATTCACTATTTTCAGCTTTTGTGCTTTGTTTTGCCACAGTTTCTTCCTGCAGACCTCTGCTGCTCTAGAACTGAAACTTCTAATTTCTTTGTAAATGTATAATATATTTTGTGTTTTGAAAATAGGTTAAATGCTCTTTTTCATCTCAAGATAGTTATGGTAGAGTCTAGCCTTCATTTTCTTATATCTTTCAGGGATTTTGATGGGGTTTTTGTGTTTGTTTGTTTTTTTTTACTGAATTTTTTCTCTTGTTTATTTCAAACTCTGTTCACACCTTCATGTCCTTGGCTTCTTCCTAGTGCCTGCCAATTTTATCTTTTCCCTTCAGCTTTCCTCAACAGGAGTTCTATTGTCAGTGACTATGAAGTCACTGTATTGTTAGCTTAAGCCCAGCATTGTATTTGAACAAAATTCAGGAACTACAGATCAATATATAAATGCATATGAGAATCAAAAAATATTGTATTTTCTATTTTTCAGTCTGTACATGATGGTAATTTTTTCCATTGTGGTTGATGCATTTACAGAATTCTTTTGACCTAAAGGAAGTCTTTTCAAGAGTAAATTAAAGTACACAGAGATTTTTTTAGTAGTGTTGAAATTAATTCTTTCAGGGAACTGCTTAAAAATCCTACGTTTCCACTATGCAAAACACATCATACATAATCAGACTAAAACCACAACACTTCCATGAAACCCAACCCTACTAAACTTTAGAATGGCTTATTTCCTTTGTATTCTTCCTGTACACTATGTTTTTTGTAAATGCCTTAACCTGATTTATGTTTTTCTTAGGTATGGAACAAAAAAGAGCATGCAGCAAACACATGACTGATTCCCTGTATATAGTCATGGTTTCCTTATTGCACCCTGTTTAAGAAGTTACAGTTTCTTTTTATGTGCAATTAATGTGTCAGATGTGTTTAATTCCAAATTTCATATTCATATTTTCAAAAACCTCTGTTCAGTAAAGAGCAATTTAGCAGAATTGTCTAGTTCCTTCTACTGACAATCATTAATCCTTAATGATCTTTAATGATAAATCAGATAATACTAATTGCAAGTCTCACATGGGCTTTTGTTTTGCGGGATTTTTTCTTTCTTTCTGCATGTGGGCTGTTTAATTACATATCATTGTACTACTACCTCAGATTCTCTTCCATGGAACGGTTTTCTTAGCTGTAAGACTTGCCAGATATCCTTAAATTTGCTAGAAGTATGAGATCTAGTGATAGGAGTTTTTTGCTGTCTTGTATTTGTCACCTGTCAGTTAGATATATGTATTGTATAGGGGAAACATTTAATTTTCTTACTTTGTAGTTGTAAGAAGTGTCAGATTTGTGTGTAATATCTTCTGCTACAGGAGGTGTTTTTAGAGGAATTAGTTAAAAAAATTAATTGCCCATGTGATGGCCTGCTTTTGTTAGCTTTTGTATCTGAAGAGAAAGAATCTTGCTAAGTGCTTATCTAATAGGTACTGTGAATTGAGACAGTCATGTTTGTCTTTTCCCAAGTACTATTTGTACCAAACAGAACGATTTTATGGTGAGATGTTAGGCAATTTAGTTTGTTTTGAAGGTGTAATCAAAACTGTAAGAGTGAATTGCTGCTGTTGACTCTGAATCATCTTTGTATGAAATAAATGGATATGTGCAGTGATACAGTCATGTATGTATATTGTCTTTATGCAGATTCTAGGGCAACAGATAAATGACTTCACCCTTCCTGATGTTAACCTGATTGGAGAGCATGCTGATGCGGCAGAGCTTGGGAGAATGCTTCAGCTTATTTTGGGATGTGCTGTGAATTGTGAACAGAAGCAAGGTAATAATTGAAAAGTTTTTTTTGTTATTGTACAACTACTAAGGAGAAAAATTATATTTCTTGGGTTTCTGTCAGAAAGAGATTTGAATTTTTTAAAATAATGAGGACATTTTATACAGGTAGGAACTGTTTTTTGGTGTAAGCTTCACTACTTTTAGAGACTCAGTCTGGAATTGAATTTACTTCCAACATGCGTATTTTCAGTTTTGGTTTGCTGAGCTGAAAAGTCAGTCTGCAAAGAAAAAAATTCTTGGGCACACCTTTTAACCATTTATGAGGTAGATCAGGATAGTTAAGGATGGAAAAATGTGATTACTGCATTATTCAGCGTGATTCTTGATTATAGAGATGCGTTCCAGGATCATCTTAGCCACATGACCATCAGTATGACTGGTGCTTGGTCCAAAGATATGTCTGGTGTGATCTGGGATACTGTAGTTTCTGAGATGTTCTATGGGGTTGGCAAATAGGAAGAAGTAATTCTGGTTACCATGCCCTTCTGGGCCCCAGCTGAAGATGGAGCACAATAAGGTCATCCAAAAAATCAATTCAGGCCAATTGTCAGACAGTTGAATCACACTTCAGCAGTCCTTGAAGAAGACTCCTGCCTCTCCTGTGGCACTGACTGTAATTCTGCACAAATACAGTAGAGAACCATCCACCTTTCTTGAAGATGCCAGAGAGGATGTGATGAGCAATGGAGGTATTTTTTAAAATGTGCTACATCTCATGTTCTAAACTTGCCTTGGTTGCAGGCTCTTTATTGTTACCCCATTACCTTAAATTACACTTAAGTAGAGCCTGATGAAGGTAACAGCAAAAACAAACATTTATTCTAAGTACTTAAAAAAGGAAACATAGTCATATGTGGGAAAAAATAGATGTGAAAAAAAATAGACTGTTTTTTACCGTATTTTGTTGGAGTTGCATCAAATAAGAGTGTCTTCCAGATTTAGCTCATTTTGGGTTTGATGGCTGCCAAGATTTCAGGCCTTTTGTCTTCCTCTTGCTTGGTGCATCTTAACTTCACAGCTAGTTTCTCCTTTCCAATTTTCTTAGGTGACTAAATCACTTGAGTTTCTCCTTCTGAAATTACTTCTATTCTCTTAAGCAGGAAGTGGTCTGGCTATTCTAGTAATTAAAACAGAAGTAATGTTCTTTCACAAGTACATAAATAACTGTGGTTTATTGATCCTCCGGTCATCTCTGTTTTATATAAAATTATCTTCCTTTTGGTGACTATTCGTCATTTTCAAGTGGGAAGTATATCTTATCTGTGTCACCCTTGCTCTTTCAGTCTGGACATTAAAAATGCACATTTGAAATACCAGAATACTCTAATTTCATGTACTTTGAGTGAGATTCAGCATGAGCAAATTACCCACTTGAAGGTGACTTTTTCCCAGCATCTTTCTCTTAATGATATCTTTTAAAAGAGTAAAGGTGATGTTTGACTGGAAACCGTATTATACTGGGCAAGTCGTTTACTCCTTGACTTAGTCTAAATGTCAGAATTTGTTCTTCTGATCTCCTGTATCATCTTACAAGGTACCTCTTGTGTAGCTCACATGTACACGTACCTGAGAACTTAAAAAGTGGAGGGGTCTTAATTTGTGATGTAGTAGAGAAATAAGAACAGACACCAAAAATGAACATGAAAATGCTTTGAAATGAGGATGCTGTAGAAGGCAGGCTGTTACTGTTACACTTAGAGAAAAGGATAACTTATCTATGCATGGATCATGTACTTCAAGAGTCTGAACAGTTCGGGAACAAAGTGAGAAAAGGATAAAAGTAGTTATTTCAGAAGTGAGATGACAGGGGAAGAAAAAAGTTAATCATGTACTTTTTTCGTTTTTGTAGAGTTCAAATAAGCCTGGATTTGTGTCTGAACAGGTTTGTGATATTGTGAAATTTGTTGGGGTGGAACTTGACTGGTGATTATACATTTCAGTGTCATCTGTGGCATCTAATCATTTTGCAGGAAGGATGCAGCTTCTGATCTTACCTTCTGTGACTTGAGTTTCAACATTGACATTTCAGAATGCTTTTATTTTCAGAATACATCCAGACCATAATGATGATGGAAGAATCAGTTCAACATGTTGTCATGACAGCCATTCAGGAGGTATGCTGGGATACCCGTAGTGTGAAAAAGCTCAGTCTTACATTATTTTACAGTAGTATGCTTTTTCGCACTTAGGAAAAAATTAGTTGGAAGTAAAGAAAATAAGGGGCATAGATTTTGCCTTTTTACGTTGAAAAATTTCTTAGTTTTCATTAGAAAAATCTTGCTTTATGTCAAGGAACTCTGGTTGAATGTCCCACTTTTCTTTAAATCTAGAAGACTGAAACTTCTAGATATTTTTGATACTTGGTTCCCTTTCCTTTTCTTTTCCTACCCTGTGAATCCTGAAGTGCACTAGATTGATTTTATATGGATAACCAATTGCTGTAGAATTTTGTCAAGATTTGTACATTGAAGCCGCAAAATTTCATAAACTGTTAATTTTTTTAATGTTGAGTAGGCAACTAAAAAAGAAGAATTGGGTAACAGTGTTGTTTTGTCAGCTGTAGTGCTATGAATGGGGTAATGGTATGTAAAATGAGCATATATGAATAATACAATAGGCTGGTATGTTTTTAAAAGTCAGTGAGTATACTGCAGTGCATTTTGTAGAAGTGCTCTTCTGTGGTGAATGAAAAACCACAGTGTTAGCCACCGAAGTCCCCCTTTAAGTTACAAGAAGTCCGAAGTGCTTAGAGGATAAATGCCACTCTATAGATATTTACCACAGGGCTGGCCACTACCTAGGAAGGGCAGGAAACCATTAGTAATCTAGTTTCTTCTGAACCTGAACAAGAGAAACTAAATTGCACATTGAGCTTTAGAGCAGTTTCTCATCTCTGTAATGTCTGAATAGAGAAAGAAGTATCTGTGAGCCTAGAAGGGGATCTGTCCACAGTCATTACTTTGACCAGTGCTGTATCCATGCAGTCATACATTCAGTTGTCTATGTGTGGACTGCTGTCTGTAACATAGCAGAGAGGACTTTTGAAATGAGTGTGAAAAGAATCATTGTCTAAATCATCTTCCAGTAATTTGCAAGCACTACCAAGCACCAGTTTGCTGGAGTTTTGGCATATTTTACTTTCTTGTAAGTTTTGTAACTGTAATATACAGTGTTCTGGTGGATTTTTCTAGTGTTTTTTATTAAACCCAAATTGCAACATCACTGTCTTCTGCACCACCTTGAAATAGAAAACATTCTTTTATCTTCCTTCTTTGTGCTGAAAATCCATTCGATTTTTATAAAAGTTTCCTTTATTTGATAAAATAGCTAGACTTGAAGCAGCCCACAATTTTCGGCATTTGATGAGTAAACTTTGAATGTGTTCAGTGCTTGTGCCCTTTCTCTGAGATGATGAATAGAAGTAGGAAGAAATCACAAGGTGAGGGTATGTTCTTCTGGAACAGATTTTTAAAATTCAGTTAATTGAAAACCTTGCTCTTCAGCTACTGGCACAGTTCTGAGTGATTTTAATGCTACTTTCTAAGCTGCTTAGAAATGGGAGGCATTTCAGGACCAAATAAAGAGAATCTCAAGTGCTTAATAAAGACGCAGAAAAGTGTCAGACTTTGAGAGTAAGGCCTCTCTCCATTATTTTTCAATGGGCTTGGAGTTTGGAGAGGTCCCAGTCAGCTGGAAACTAGCAAATACTATTCCAGTTTTTGAGAAAGAAGGAGGATGCTGTCAGTTATAGGCCTGTCTCACTTCAGAGCCTGGCAAAATTATGGAGAAGGTTATTCTGGAGGTTAGATCATAGCCAGCACAGATTGATATGGGAAGTCTTTAAAGGGGGGAGACTTCATGGTATTTTGTAAGGAGGTTTTTCTATTTCTTAGACTCATAGCAGCTCTTAGAGTTCAAGTGACTTAGAAAAAGCAGTATGTAGGAAATTAGCTATATATGCATATTTGAAAAGTTGGTATGTCACCTAATCCAAACATTTCAAAGCATTTGACATTGCACGTAGTCTTCAAAATTAGGTATGTCAGAAGATCTCTTTAAGCTTTACTGATGTGTTATGTAATTCAATTTTCTGTTTCAGCTGAGCATGTACGAATTTTTTTGATGCTTCTTTGGTTATTGTAAATCATCTTACTCATGAAAGTATGTCATGAGGCACAGTAGAACAAGCTCTCTTAATTTTTTTTATGGAAAAGCTGATTTTTCAGTCGAAGAAGTAGCATTCTACATGCTAAATTTACTCAGTTCTTTAATTTTTTATTAACCTGTGGTTCTTCATAATTTGTTTTCTTCACTTATTTAAATGTTTAAAATATGCTTTGTGCTTCATAAAGGTTTTATAAATGAAACAGTGATTTTCTGTTAGTTTTTAACTGTAGTCATATTGATCTGGTGTGTTGTCACCACTTAGAATCTGAGATGCTAATCTTCAGATGTAGGTATCAAAATGGAAGTCGTGCACAAGATACAAGATTGAATCCATCAGTATATGTAATGTAACAGTTTCTTTATTTCATGGCTTTCAGGTTTTTTAAAGGCCCAAAATATTTTCTTACAGAAATTATTTCCCCTGTTATTTATTTCCCACNCCCTTTCCCACCCCCCCTTTTCCCCCAAGGAGGGAGTAGGAAAAGGTGCTTACTGTCTGGGGTAACATCAATGATGTTATTTCCATTTCTTGGCTTTGTGGGGGTTTTCTCTCCTCTATTTGTTCCTGGTTGTTTAAAGATTTATCTTGTCAAAAGTAAAATTACTTTTCTAATAGTTTGGAAATTATATAAAAGTATTTTATTGGGTCTATCAACAGATAGACTGGAGGTAGACTGAGTATCAATTGGAGGAAGAAGAAAGTCCTGCAGCCTTAAAGGATATAGAGTGTCAAACATAGCCATGACTTTGAAAGACTGATAAAAAGATGTTCTAAGAAAAAGAACTTGAGTATGGAAGCTAGGTTTTGACATTGCTTTGTGGGCACTTAAGTGAGCTTATACAGTATTACTAACTGTATAAAAAGCATTTCAGATAAAGCAAGTGTTTTGGATTTCAAAATCATCAACTAAATAGAGCAACTGTGTTTGCAAAATCCTGTGTAGGGGACAAAAGCTTTCATAATTCAGGTAATTCATGCAGGTTTTGTGATAGTTTCACCCCTTCCCTAATCTTCATGTATCCATGACAACACAGCTTGTTCACATTTTACAGTGAAAGCGGTTAAAAAGTGAAGGTTTTAATAATATAGGATTAGCAGACCTACAAGTGTTATGTAAGATATCATACCAAAGCTATGAGCATGAAAAATAATAGATGTAAAGGATTAACTGGGAGTGACAGCTGCTTCTTATAAAACGACACAAATAACTGTAAGAATTGGCATGCTGTCCATGTTTAAATGCACCATTTAAAATTCAGACTGACCTCTATGCAAAATAAACCAGAAAAAAAACAGCCTGTAAATGCTAATTTCTAGTTTATTTCACTCTGGGAAGCTCTTAAGCAGGCTTTTCTTTCTCAAGTAGAAGCCTAGTGCAAGTGCTTGTATTTGCAAGCACATTATTAAGTCTGATTTTTATAATCTCTGCACATCATCCTCCATTAAAGTTGTATGTGAAAATAGGTGATTATACTATACTTACACTAAATGATGGGTTTGGAAATGAAAGCCAGTTCCAGTGCTGCAAAATTGTGAAGGTGAACCTTTATTCTCTTTGTAGTCTGGTCCTGAAGAAAACTTACAGCTGTGAAGGGAAAACGAGAAGGCCACTTCCTTCTGCTTTTTATTCTCTTGACTCATTTGAAATACAAATGAAATAAAGTTTGCCCCTCTAAACTCAAAAGTATTGCCATTGATCCACACCTCTCAAGACCACATACTGTAATATCATGCTTCAAGGTTGCATGTGGAAAACCTGTGACATCAATATTTCATTAATTTTTTCTGACTTTGAGCTTTTAAGTAAAGGAAATATATAGATATATGGAAATTAGCTTTAAGAATTATTAGCAACCTACAAGTATTGTAAGATTATTAATAAATAATGCAGAAAGAGCTGATGTGCCATTGAGCAGGTAATGAATTAAATGAGCATTTTTTAACTGTAAGTTTCAGTAATATCAGAGAATGCTGATTGACCGGAAACAAAGTCAAGAATAGGGAAAACTAGGTGAGCCTCTTATCTTTCATTTTTTAGGTGGATGCAAGGTATAGTGTGTGTTTCAAATTGATATACCTGTATTTATGGAATCTTATAAGTGAAAGTTTCTTTGAAATTTTAAGAAAAATCTGACTGAGAGAAGTCTGGGAAGGTGGGTGGAGTTGTTTGCTCTATTGGCTGTACTATTTATGATAAAGTTTCTGTTTCTCAGTGGGGAGAAGCTTTGTACAGATAAATCCTTTGTAATCCTGAAGCAGAGCATGGTCAAGGTATTTTCTTGCATAAACTCTTTACATATTTACAGTATGTGGGGAGAGGTATAGGGAAGAGATGGAAGCACTCCTTTACCATGATAATTCTACCTTTACATCCCACTTGTTCAAATTGTTTTACTGGTAACTGATGATCACAAGCTGGATTCCTGTGTTCCTTTTGAGTTATCTGGCAATCTCATTCTTGTTCTTTGTCTGATTGTAGTGCTGGACACAAAACTCCCTTAAATTTCATATTGAACTTTTCCACTATACAGACCACAGACCATCCAATTACAAGGTGCTTTCTATTGCACTGAGTCATGTGAGATACATCTATCTGCACATACATCTGTGCTCTTGGCCTTGGTGCCTTGTTCACATTTCCCCATGACGTTCTTAACGTATCCCAAGGAGTGAAATTCATATATGCAGCGTGCATTCACGATACACCCAGACTATGTATCTCCAGTACCTAATCCTACTACTACTCCAGGAAGCGTCCATGCCTGGACATTTCTGGTAAGGGTTCTCAAGGACAGGATGTTTTGGGAGAGATGGCAAAACTTGCTGAAGAAAATAAGGATTACATTATTAGCCATGGCCTGCGTTACGTCAAGTCACAGAAAGCAGTGACACCACAGTGGCCTCTGGTGGGTTGTGTGGTCACCTGTATTCCTTGAAGTCTTGGACAGGCCTGTTGAGCTGGTTTTTCAAAGAGGAATTTGTGTGAGGGCCAGAAAGGGGTGGTGGCTGTTAGGGATATGTTGTACACCCTTGCAGGCTGCATGCAGCCTGGGACCTGCCTGTTGGCAAGTGCTGACTTAGCAGTGCCATTTACTTGTGTCCATGTGTGAGTACATGTGTCTGAAATGTGTTTGTGCACAGCATTGTAGAATATAAAATATAGAGAAGAGTTCAGTGTTTGGCTAATATGGAATATCCCTGTTAGTCATCTGGAAAAGCTGGTGAAATTTAGGATTCAAAGTGTGTATGAATATCACAGAGCAGGGAGAGACTGGGAAGTTTTGTTTAAATTATAATCAGCTTAGAAAACAGGGTCCTAAATTGAAAACAAGTTTGTAATTCCATTATATTTGGTAATGAAAAAGATGAGACTTCATTTTTTAGGAGACAGCTCTGGATGCTAGAGACTTTCTAATTGTTGCATAGAATGTGGGCTTGATGTAATGCTTCTTTGTAGTTTGTCATTGTAAAGATGTAGTGGAAAATAGAAGAAATATGGAAATATTATCAAGGTCTGAGGAGGACTGCTGAGGGGAGATAGATTAATCTAAATTATGCAGGTGAGTCCCAGTTAAGGAAATGGGGAAAGTGAAAGAAATGTAAGTTTATGTATTTGAATGATGTAAATGTCAAACAGATTTTTCACTTGTACATGGTGGTATAAACAGACAGGATTGAAAAGTGAAGGCTTTGTGCAGTGTATCCCAAAAGACCTTGCTAAGGAAAACAGTGCAAAAGCATTGATTTCTGGAAAGAATAAAGGAAGTACTGTCTCTGGAGAGAGTTACCAGGCTAGAGAGGGGATTCCATGCAGAAATCTTGTCCTGATTTTGGTTGGGATAGGGCCTTTTTAATTGTAACTTTCATGAATCGTGTCAATGGAGAGCTCTTAGAATATTTTGTGTTTGGACAGAAACCATCAGTGCCCTTCTGTAAGGACGCCTTTTGAATTGGTTACAGTGTATTTCTCATTTGTGAGACTGTTCCTGTTTTTGTCTTACAACTTTTAGTAAGAATATTCCCTTCCTATGTTTGCTTGAGCTGTGTGGGAGGAGGTTGCTGCGCTACGACTTTCGCTACATTTGATTTCACTTTTTACTTTTACCCAGCTGCAGCTGATCATTAGGTTACTATCAAAACTTACTTAGCAGCTTTTTTCTTTCTTTTGATCAGTACCTCGATCAGTTTTGTAGGATTTAATTTGAGGGTTTGTATTGAGGGTTTGGCTGGAGTTGTTTTTGATTTGTTTTGTTGCGTTGTTTTTTTGAATGTTCTGTGAGGAAACCACTATCAGTTATTCCTGCACTGAAGTAGTACACAAGGAATTGTAATACTCATTTCAGGAGTGCACTCTACTGAATTACTTCTTAAGGTTGAAAATTACAGGCAACTCCAGAACAGAATTTTGATCATCTTTGTTTTGCACTAGTAGTTGAGAAAGATATGTCCTGGAGTTGTGTGAAATAAAGAAATAAATTTATGTTAATATCCAGGTAATGGAACTATGAAAAAGCCTCTCACTAGCAGAGAAAAATTAAAGATAGGTCTTGGATGGTGTGCTGATATCTACTGTCATTCCAATGCCACTGCAGTAAAATCTTTAGTGGGATGTTCTGTAGGCTTATCATAGACAAAGAATGTGCATTGTCAAAAGAAAAAGAGATGATGTAAGTTTTTTTTATAGCGCTCTAAATAATTATGAAGATATTTTCTCATTCTTGTTTCTGAATATGTCATATATAAAAATGAAGTTAAAAACTTTAACGTTAATTCAGATTAAAGCTCCCAAAAGTGAAAATCAGCTTGGTATTTCATTGAAACTTAGATTTTAATGTAAAAGTAAATTTTTGCTTTTTCTAATCCAGTGTAATCTAATTGCAGTTGATGAGTAAAGAATCTCCAGTCTCTGTTGGAAATGATGCTTACGTTGACCTTGATCGGCAGGTATCTAAGACTAGATGTTTCTTTTACTTCAATTATAGCATGTCAGTGGCCATATTAAGAACTCAGTCTTTTTTTTTCCTTTATTCATTAAAGGGTGTTGTGGAAAAGTAAAATAAGAAGTAAAAACCTTAATTTTAGTATTTCAAGTACTTCAGCTTTATAAATTGAGTTTATATTTTATTGAGCTCCTATTGTGTATTTAAAGGATGTAGACTAGTTGGTTTGAAAAACCAGTCTATCTGTATGACATAAAAAAGCAAAACAGCAGATTGATACAAATCTTTAGTCATGGAGAAAGAAAGGGAGGTCAAAAAGGTGTACGGTTTGAATAAATGTTTTTATATGAGTTCCTACTTCCAAAGTCTGTTAAAAAAAACCCCAAAAGACTGCTTCTATGGGAATCCTGGAACTGCTGCAAAATAGAAAAGAAGTTTTTAAATACTTGTTACTTCTTACTTTTATACACCTTCCTGGTGTGATATATTTAAAAATAGACAAACCTTTTTTTTTTTTTCCCACTAGCTTATCCTCATACTAATGCTGTCATGTTTCCTCAGATTTTTTTTTTCTAATTGAGAAGAAGAGTAGTACAGTGGTTCTCACTGTATTTGTCCATTATGCTTTCTCTACAGAAATATGTAAATTATTGCAGATGAAATAAATTAGTTGTATGTAAACAGGTCCATTAGAAATAAACTTGCGAATGCAAGGTATGATGATGTTGTTTGAGAAAGCATTTAAACTCATCATATATAATAGTACATATATATCTGTATCTATATACACAGCGTACATGAACCTATTTTATCAGACCAGTTTTCTTGTAGCTATGTTTTCTGTTATCCTAACTGCCTTCATTTGCAAGCCAGTGAGATGCATATCTTTAAGCATTAAGCCTTTGAAGGGAAGCATTGGAATATTCCCCAGTACTTATAAGGTTCCGTGTCCTTTTTTACAAGAGTAGGCTTCTCTGTCACATATTAGTTTTGTTCCTGTTGTGCACTAGAAGTAGCTCCCAGAGTAGAGGGATTTTACCCTAATTGTCCATTCCCTGTATCCCACCTTCCAGTCCTTTCTGTATTTCAAACATAGATTGAGAATTGAAATTATACACTCTTCGTGTCTGTAAAGAAAAGTGGTATTGACAGTTCTTTTCAGTATAGAGATCTGGTGAGTTCTTCAGACCTAATTTCTCCTGGAGTTTTTGACTCAATTTATAGAGTAGATGTGATAATTCTAATCTAAGAGCAAATACTACTTTTAGGTACATTTACTTTTTACTGATATGCAAACTAAACAGTATTCACATCTGCTTCTTTTTTTTCTTTATGTAAGAATTGCTCAGTTTTTCAGAAAATTAATATATTACCTAAATGTAAAAATAGTTTTACAGCCACGTAGTTCAGAATATTTTTAAATTACAGAGAATGATGAAAATGTAAACATTTCTTGTTTATGGTAGCTGAAGAAAACTACAGAAGAATTAAATGAAGCCCTTGCAACAAAAGAAGAAATTGCCCAGAGATGCCATGAGTTAGATATGCAGGTAAGTTTGCTATAGAGTCCATATCAATTTTGATGTGGAGAAAAGACATGGTAACTTCGAGGTCGCTGACAATAAGTACTAGCATATTGAAACATTTTTAGAAGGGGGTTGAAAATGGCACAGTAGTTGTTTTGTTTTTCGCTTGTGCTAGCAGAATGAATGTCATTGTTTTCTTATCGTGTTTCCGTGTTGTCAGTATTATGATTCATACTAGCAAAATTTCTTTTCATTCAGTTAGGAAGGGTTTGAGCTGTGTGGTAAAACTTTTGCCATAGAGAGCTAATACAAGTTCTGCTGCTGTAATAGTTCCAGTTAATAGTTAAATCCCAGTCAGAAGTTGCTGTAGACCATTAAAAGTGTACAGATTTAGACTAAGCCTTACTGTATGTAAATCAATACTCATCTGGAAGACATGAGAAATGTGAAGGGGGAGCCCTGAAAGGTATTGCTATTGCAACCCTACTTTGAAATACTAATTCAGGTTTCTTGTAGTTCAGTAACTGTTGGAATTAATAAAGCTGATCTTTGCTTGCCATGGTTAGTATATGAACCCACATGTCAGGTCTTGGAGAACTTTGGGTTCTTTGCACTACCACCTGTTTTCATTGTGTTAGTGGAAACTGAGCCATCTTCGGGATTGTGTTCTTCTTTCAGTCCTGCTTGCAGATGGCCTATACTGTGGAGAGCTAGTTCTATTTGTAGGCAAAGTATGAAGATTTTACTACAATGAAGTTACCTTCTGCCTTAACAGACTTTTTTTTAAGTGCTTGTGTGACATATGTAGAAGAACTATTATGTTTCTTGAGTTGGAACTATGTCCCTAATGTTGCAGTATGTTGGTTACATCACATAGTAATTGAATATCTATTAAATGACACAGAGTGTACTTGTGAAATGTGATTAGTGAAGCCTTTGTGTTTCTGTTTGTGGGCTCTGTTGATACTTCATTAGGATTATGAAAAAATTCTGCTTTTTGTATCTGGGTATGTTAATTATTTCTGTTCATACTTTTATTATAACAGGTTGCAGCCCTCCAAGAGGAGAAGAGCAGCCTGCTTGCCGAGAACCAGATTCTGATGGAACGTTTAAATCAATCTGATTCTATTGAAGATCCCAACAGTCCTGCAGGTCGTAGACACCTGCAGCTGCAGACACAGCTAGAACAGCTCCAAGAGGAAACATTCAGGTAGAAGAACTACATTTGGTTGGGTTGTTTGTTTGTATCTGGAAATAGTGGTGACTCAGACACTTCTGTTTCTGCTGCAAATATGAATTAGTATAATGGATGGTGCATAACCACAGTAGTACAGTTTTTAAAGTGATACATACATTATAATTTTGCTCTTTACAAGATTCAGCATTAAAAAAAGCACAGTTTCTTAATGCTGAAGTGCTTTTTACATCACTCTCTCGTGAGTTACTTTGAATTGCTTGTGTGCTGTTACTTCACCCATGTCTTGCAAAGTCAGGGAGAATTAAAAGTAGCATGCTTTTCTATATGCAAATTATTCTAACTGTATTTTGAAGGTCTGCTAATTCCTAGATGAAAGTTTGCTACAGGCTGTACTGCTGGTGGCATTATATACATAGCAAAATATGTCCCTCTCTGAATTTGAAAACAAATTTCAGAGATGATGAAAGATAGAGATTATCCATGTATGAGTTGTGCACTTTATTTACATTTCCCCAGTGTGTGAAAATACGGCTCCTCTTTGAACATCCTTCCTGGTCCTCTTGATTGTTGCTTTCAGGCTGTGTAAGCCTAATTCCACTGAAGAAAGCTGGTTCACTTCACTGTAACCTTTTCATTCTCTTTGTCATACTTTCCTTCTCCTTTTTTTGTGTGAAATCACATTATTTCTTTCTTTACACTGCCAGTTTTTCTTTTGCTGTATTCTTCTCATTGCCTTTTTCCAATTCTTACAATATATATGCCATGTTACTTTTCTTTTTTTGTCTGTTTTGCCGTTTTTGCAATTCCTCTTGCTAAGCCTCCTTTCTTGCTTATTCTGACATATTTCCCATCAGTTCCCTTGAAAAACATTCAGTGCTTCTCTTTCACGACTAGTGCCTGGTTTTCCTCTTTTTAGATGTCTACCATGTAAAGGAATAAAATAATTACAATGTCCTCTCTCCATGCTCTGCAGTGATTCCTACCTGAGTCTGGTATCAATTACTGTATGAACAGATTTTATCCCTCTGTTCAATATCTGTACTGCTTGTTACTGTAATTCCAGGTTCAGAAAGTCTTTTGAAGTCATTTTCATATGTAAGACTGACTCATTCCTGGCCTCCTTTACCTCTTTCCCCTGCCTTCTAATGCCAATTTGTATGTGTTGCTTCCAGTTCTGCCTGATTAAGCAGGACATATGTACAGCTTAGCTGGTGCCTAGTGCAGTACATCATTTTACCTCCTAGTGCATCCTTGTGCTTTGACTGTTCTGGTTTTTCGTAATCCAAATCTTGATTGCTTCTGTTTTGGATGACTTAAAGATTTTCTTTTGTCTCCATTCTTGTGTATTGTTTTTGGATTCTTTGACTTTTTCTTTCCCTCATGCCCTTACTTATCTCCTATCCTGGATTTTTTTTTTTTCTAATTTCAGAGCAAAATCACAGTAGGACTTCATGTTCTGGTTTGTGTGGAAGCCTACCACTGGTCTCAGCCCACGTGTTGAGACCGGTGGTTTCACGTGATTTGGTGTCTTGGAGCAGAAAGACAGACTCTAGCCCAGTTGTCTGAAACTGAAAGCTTTAGTAGTACCAAAACAGCAAACACTAAACTGCACAGGGTATATGGAGTGAACTAGGGGGAGTTCAGAGAGGGTTAATGCATTCACTATCCCTGGGTCTAGGGTCTGACCAGGGGCGTGTGTAAACTTGGATAAGGGGAGGAGTTTAAGGGAAGGATTCAGAAGGGAAGGGCGATTAGGAATATTAAAATTTCTGCTGCAAAACATAGCCAACCATAATTCATAGAGAGCAAAGGACTTTCTAGCTAGATTAGCATAACAGAAACAGGAGGAATTATGGGGGCAAAACTTACTCACTCTCACATAGAGGGATTTTTCCATGGCCTTAGGCTGTCCTGTAGCATCTCTTTATTACATTCAACCCCAATTTTGTGTCCTCTTCCATTCATTCAAAATACTTTGAAAAAGTTTCTACTACTTAGTCCCTTTGTTCACTGCCAGAGCTTTACCTATGGATAGTGTATGCAAGCAGTTTAGCAACTTTGGTCAGAGTTCTTTACTTGCTAACTAGATAGTCCAGTTGTCCAGATGTACTGAGCATGCATTGCTTCTTTAGGAATAGATATTAAAGCCACTTCCATGAGAGATCTATAGCATTTATAGTCTATGGCCACAAAAACCCCCTGCAGTGCCACAGGCTGGGGACAGAGTGGCCTGACAGGAAGGGGCCTGGGGGTACAAGTGACAGCCGACTGAGCATGAGCCAGCAGTGTGCCCTGGTGGCCAAGAAGACCAATGGCATCCTGGCCTGGATCAGGAGTGTTGTGGCCAGCAGGAGCAGGGAGGTCATTCTCTCCCTGTACTGGGCACTGGTGAGGCCACACCTGGAGTGCTGTGTCCAGTTCTGGCCCCTCAGTTCAGGAAGGACGTTGAGACGTTTGAGCAAGTCCAGAGGAGGCAACGAGGCTGGTGAGGGGCTTGGAACACGAGCCCTGTGAGGAACGGCTGAGGGAGCTGGGGTTGTTTATCGTGGAGAGGAGACTCAGACCGTGACCTTATCACTCTGCACAATTTCTTGGAAGATGTTTGTAGGCAGGAGGGGGTCAGTCTCTTTCTCCAGGCAACAACTGACAGGAGGAGAGGACACAGTCTCAAGCTGTGCCAGGGGAAATAAAGGCTGAATATTAGGAAAAGTTTTTTATGGCAAGAGTGATAAAGTACTGGAATTGTCTAACTGGGGAGGTGGTGGAGTCACCACCCCTGGATGTATTTAAAAACAGACTGGATGTGGCATGGTTTAGTTGAGGTGTTAGGGCATGGGTTGGACTCGATGATCTTTAAGGTCTCTTCCAACCTTGTGATTCTGTGATTTCTAACATCTAACAATCAAGCCATTATTGTTGGAGGTAGATGAGTTGGAGAGCTGAACAGAATCTTAGAATAAAGATGTTATGTTAAAACTCTGGATGTCAAAAGATGAAAAAAGATGAAAATTTCTCAAGCTTCCCTTGTGAAAAACTACTGCTGTAGAAGGAAACCTTAGGTTTTGTCTTTGAGAACATACGTTTCCTTGTGAATTTTCAAATAGAAAGACTGATACTAAATTGGGAGCATTGATAAAGTCAATCTGCTATCACATTTTGAATAGGCACATTGGGTTGTTGTTTTCCTTCACTGCAGCAGGAGGCCGTTTCATGGGTTCTTAGAAAGAAGATGATGAGGAAAGGTAACTGTTGCTCAGGGTAAGAAATTATTTCCTGGGGTTTTTTTCATTCCTACAGATTAGAAGCTGCCAAAGATGACTATCGAATACGCTGTGAAGAACTAGAAAAGGAAATTGCGGAATTGAGACAACAAACAGAAGAGCTTACTACACTGGCAGAGGAGGCTCAGTCTTTGAAAGATGAGATAGATGTACTCCGGTAAATTTCGTTCCATTAACTCTCTTTTAACTACTACCTTTTAATCTATATAATTTGTGTACTTAATCAACATTATCTTTCGTTTAAATAATTTAATATTAAACATTTCCAATGCCAAGATTCTTTGGATCCTCCAGTTTAGGTACACAGACTGACACACAATTCTGCTTTAGTAAAATAGTTGTTTATTTTGTATCTAATCAATAACTATTAATAATCCTAGTAGTTCTGTGCCAATTTATGGTTATAACAGGGCACTCACTGGTCTCTTTGAGTATGCAGTATTCACCTTCATTGTGTCCCGGGCATCTGTTCTCATCAGAAAACTAGGCTGTTTCCTTTTCTGGGTTTGCATTGCTTGGACTTTGGGTGGTGCTTTTGGTTTATCATGTAATATTAATATGAAAAATATCTGTTCCAGCTCTCATTCCCATTGGAATTTATCAACAAAAGTTGTCATGATTTGATGATACTAGGGGTTTATAGGGTGGGAAAGCCCTTTTCACTATGGAGCATATTCCTTCAGTATTGGCATCTACTGCCATGGGTTATTCAAGAGTAATTACCTATTCTCTCCAGCAAGGCTTATATACTACTCCTATTCCTGATTCACCAGCAGCCTTCTACCAAAGCTATCTGTCTGTATCCCTTCTGTCATTAGTACAAGGAACGAACCCATCAGGCTGCGTAAACTGTGTGGATGGTGGCATGGGTTCAAAAAGCAATTCCTTGTTACAAGAGAGAGGCCCTGTACCTCACTGAGGATTAAACAGAGCTGGCCTGCCTCCTTGTCCTATAAACTGACCCATTAATTCATTGGGAGATTTCCTGGATTTCACAGGAAGTTTGGTCTGTAAATTGGTTCATTCTGAAATGAAACTGGAAACAGTAATAGCAGAGGTTGTTGGGGGAGGTGAGGTCTACTGTAATCTTGGCAGTGCAGCAGGTGGATTGCTAAAACTTTCAAAAGCTGAAGCCTGGTGTTTTTTAATGGTTTTTTGGGTTTTTTTTTTAAGAAGGAATCAAGTTTCAAAATTGTTATGGTGCTTTTGTTTTGTTATGGTGTTTTTGCTTGGTATAGACCAAGTAGAATTTGCCAGAGGGATCTTTATGATTTTATTCCTAGTTATAAGTAAAACAGATTGGATGGCGGAAACTTTTCTTCTTTACCCTTATAAAATTTAGGACAGAAGACAATTTAGGATTGAAAGGAAATTGGTGGGAGTGAGGTTATTTTTAGCTATTATGTTAGAATTGGAAACAGATAAGGAAGTTGTGTTAGGAAGAGGGATAGGGTCTAAAAGAACCTTCCAGCAACTCTTGTAGTTGATAAATAGTTGTGGAAAGAAAGACAGTTTACTAGGAGGATATGATTGCCTTATTGTTTTCCGCATGGTGCCTCAGAATGTTTACTGCAGTAAGAACAAATAGTGAAGAAGCATTTAAAATTCTGTTAGTTCTGTTAGTTTTCAGAGTTCAAATTTGATACAAATCTGTCTCTTCAGGCATTCTTCTGATAAAGTAGCCAAGTTAGAAAGCCAGGTAGAGTCATACAAAAAGAAATTGGAGGACCTGGGTGATTTGCGGCGTCAAGTGAAGCTTTTAGAAGAGAAGAATACAATGTACATGCAAAATACCGTGAGCCTGGAGGAAGAGCTAAGGAAGGCCAATGCAGCACGCAGTCAGCTGGAAACATACAAGAGACAGGTGAGAACAGGCATCATTAGTGCAATACTACTCTGTATTGTTCAGCACTTTGTCTTCATAACATGGCTAATACCTCAAAATAAAAAAAAAAACCTAGGAAGAAAACAACTCCTTTTTAGAAGGCTTCCATATTTTGTACATGCTTGCAACCTTTGTTCTCCTTTCCTGCAATTTTTGTCATTACTACAAGTTTGTTACTATGTCAAAAAGCAGTATTTCTTGCATTTAAAAACTCAACAGATGTTAAGTTTTGTTTTCTTTTCTAAAATGATTCCAAATTCATATTCAGTAGCAGGGCTTGAATTGGAGGTTTTCCTTTCACAAAAAGTATCTACTTTTCACTTAAAGTTTTCCAGCAGTGAGGAACACACCACAGCTGAGGTAAGTTGTTCCTGTGGTTAAATAAGCAATTTTTTAAAGGTTTTCATTTGTCTGATACATCTGAATTTTTCCACTTAAAAAGAGAGAGGCTCACATATCATCCTTGTTGTCTATATGCACCTAGGGGAATATGAAATATGTCACCAGCACATTCCGTGGAGTGGTAGGCATCTGTTTATCCTCCTGCTTATCCAAGTGCCATGCGATGCTGTTTCTGTAAAGGTGGAAGATGTGCTTAATCTTCTTTCTGTTTCTATACTCCAGGGACACGATATCATTCTGGTATTCTTGTTACAGAGCTGGACAGCATGGTTGATTAAAGCAGTAGTGCCTGCTCTGTATTTCTGCCTGATTGAATGATCACAGCACAGGGCTCCCTGTATGTCAGTTTACTGTAGAATAAAGTATAGAAACAAGCACTAACAATGTTGAAAGCCCAGGAGCAGTGTGTCTGCCTAAGACTTGGTAGACTTTTTCCCTGTGCTTAAATCAGTGTTTAAAACAACTAGTTTCAGCCTATGTGGGCTAATTTTGAATACAGCCCAAATGATATTACCAGAAAAATGATCTTGGACAAGAAAAATGTCCAAGAGGGCAAAGAGAAAAGTAAATGTGGAAAGGAATGGTCTTCCACACATGAGTAGTAAGTATCAAGTTTGCAGGCAACCTAGTCTTTTGCTCCATGAAACAGCTGAGCATGTGATATTGTTATGTAATCTCAACATCTGCATTTGATTCCTCTTATTTCACCAACCAAAAGGATTTTGGAAGGGCCAGTCCCATCATTTATGCTGCTAAAGTACTTCTTTTCTTCATTATTTCCTGTATTTTATGGGTAGGATTTCCAGTATAAGGAGCTGTTGTTTGGTGCAAAACTGTTTACTGGCTGGGACTGGGATAAACCTCAGGTGTCCTGTGGCAGATGTGTTTTCTTCACCTAAAACAGTAGTGTCTCAAAATGAACACTCTGTGGTTGTCTTCAGTGTCTGTAAGACTGGGCTCCTGTTGAGACCTGGCTGTGACTCATAAGCCACATTTTTTTTTTTCTGGAAATCCTAAATTGTGCTTTCAGAATTAAGCCAGATATAAGGTTCATGATGTTATGTCACTGCTGAGTACTAGTGTGCTCCTGTAATGGAATATGTCTTGTCTGGTGTTTCAAGGATCCAGCCCCACTCATGAGGATGCCGTTAGAGAGTTAATTCTTTGGCTTAGAATCATTGTGCTATGCAGATAAAAGTGGTTGATTCAAATTCCTGTAGTAATCTGCAAGGAAACTGCATCTCCACTGCACAGAGCAGTTTCTGTGAGGTGAGATTGAGTGGTGGTGTTTTGTTTTCACTCTTCTGAGAGCAAGCACAAGCCTTTTCTAAGAAACTTTATTTCAGCATAATGAATTGAAATGTGAAGACTGCAGGATAATATATGTAATTTTAATTCAGCCCCTTTGTGCATGTGCATTCTGATACATAGTTAACAGTATGTTTCGCTTTTCTTTGTTGCAAGATTCCTGCTTTACTCATTCCACACACAGATAATGCTTATTAAATGTGATGGCAGTTCATTTTTGTTTTAGTCTTCTGCATTACCATGAAACTGCATGTTTTTCTATACACTCACAAGTCCTAATTCAACACAGATTTATTTCCTGCAGTGTTTTTCTACATACCATTACCTTAGCATGATTGATTACAAGCAGAAATGCATTTGTTTCCATTTGAGGTGAAAATACTCATATTTTGCAGGTGGTGGCACTGTCACTGGTGAAGGCTTGCAGTTTTTTTGTTATACCTTCAGTTATTCTGATAGCCCCAGTGATTGATGTCACATTTGGAAAATTAAATATTTTCATATCTAGCTTGTTCATTTATTTAATCTCAGAAAATGCGGGCCTGTGCTGGTTTTGTAGTCTTTAATTTAAGAACAGCAGCAAAGTCCTTCTCTAGGACTTAAGACCTTGCATATTTTAGGCCTTGTAGTTATTTTGATATAGTTGTACACATTGAAAATAAAAGGCCATCAGAACCACTGGGGAAGCTTGATGTATATATGGGCACTGCTTAATCACTTCCTTTGCTATCTAAAGGCCATGAAAAAGACTTCTTATAAATTGCTTCAGAAGAAACTGTAGGTCTTTAGCGGAGTCTTCATTCAGCTTTTGTATTTGCAGGTCAGTCTTTATTTAGCTTATTTGCTTCCATGCTCTATGCATTATGAGCTTTACTAGTGTTCTGGGAATTAATCTTTGCTAGTAAAGGCTGAAAGTTTTGAAAAGGGAAGACTTCACTGATTTACCTTCTGTTGTGCTCAGCTTTCATATTTCTGCTCACTTAATTTTAGGAGCTCTCTACTGATCCGTAGTTGAAAGCATACGTGAGGCAGTGTTTTTTGCTGAAATAAAGAAAACCGTTTGGATCCTGTGGCTGAGTCTTAGTGTACTAAAATTTATTAGGACATCTCAGTTTAGGGAACGTTACCTGGCTGCATAAATTAGTAGTTGAATTTTGAGTGAGGTTCATGAAATAAAGTTAGCAAAAGGTATAGATAATTTGTTTTCATCAGGGTCTTTTCTTTTTACTAGGCTTTTCAGAATGCAGAAAGATTTTTCTGCTGTTCTGAAGCTTTTTGATCCCTAGAACTACACAGCTTTTTTTCTGTAAACCTTGCTGGAGCTTAAATTCTTGTTTTCAGATGTACTGAAAATACTTCCCATCTTTTCTATCTTTTGCTTGCACTAAGACCTAATATTTGAATGCTTTTTATTTTGCTGAAACACAGAACAATGGATGAAAGAAGTTTTAGGATGTCCTATAAGTAACTATTTCACTTGTTTTACGACATGACTTGTGGTGCATTGTAATTGGCTACTTTGTCTTGTGTATTTTGTTTAACATTTGCAGACACATTATTGATTCTTGTTCTCACAGGCAGTTGAACTACAAAACAGGTTATCTGAAGAATCCAAGAAAGCTGATAAATTAGATTATGAATGCAAACGACTGAAAGAAAAAGTAGACAGCCTCCAAAAAGAAAAAGATGTAAGTGCCAAGGTGTTACTTTTTGTTAGCAACTATAGCAAATTTGTATCTTTATAACACAGAGATATGATAATTATAGTTAGCCATCTTCTTAAATTAGGAAGTCTTTTTTCCTCTAAAGTTTTTCTGATGTTTGTGTACAAGATACTTTTAAACCTAAGAATTGTACAGCAAGGACTCAACTGACTGTCCAAAAACTTATGCAACTTATTTTTAAGAGGAAAAGCCTTCATATTTGGCATTTGAAGTTGTTTCCTGACTGTTTACCGTGAGAAAGTTAATAAATACCCAGGGTAATTATTATGTATTCTGGAAAGCTATTTACAACAGTGTTTTTGCCGTACCATCCTAGAACTAAATTCCCATTGCTTTTTTTTCTTAAGGCATTCTTTGAGGTACCGTCAGCATGCTTCTCTTTGTGGAGTCACCACTAGTGTAGCAAGAGACTTAGTAGTTGTGTAGAAGGAAATGTCCTTTGTGACAATCTCACCATTTATGACAGCTCCTTGTTGTACTGCCAGTGTGGAACACACAGGGTAGATAGCAGTCTATGCCCTTCCTCTTGTGCCATTTTCTGCTAGTGATTCTGCAATTAGTTGCTCTGTATTCTCTTGCTGAGATTGATCCTTCAGACTTCTCTTACACACTGTCATTTCTCATCAGTTAATTTCAGCTTGTTTCTTTGGAATGTATATGCAGGTGCCTCAAACTAACTAAAATCAAGGTCAGCAGTTGACGCTAGCAGTTTCTTAGGCATATTTTAATTATAAATCCATTGATCCAACTGCCAGAAACTCTGTTGATTTTTTCTCAATAGTCATATTTCAGGTCTACGTTATTGCCAAGATTTCTAAGCCCAGCACTTAAATATCATTTGAACTGAAAATTTTCAGTTACTTTATGTTTATAGGGCATTGGTTTCCATTTTTTATTAAATTTTCAAGCTCTGGTGGACACTTGACCTTCACATCACTTCCATCTGCCCTTCAAATCAGGCTGGAATGCTCATAACTGTATTGGTATTATGCTTTGGCTTTCTTTCCTGCTTTTTATTTTTAAATTGTTTTTTTTTTTCCAATTCTTTTATGTTGAACAATAGTAAAGTTGTTTCTGTGGCTTATCCATTGCTCAGTGGACCATTCCATCTTGCACAAAGGATCTGAATTGCAGGCCATTGTTACATAGTTTTCTGTTTTACCCCCCAGGAAAATAGCATTTTTTTGAGCTGGATGTTGTTTTTAAATACATTCTTTTGAATGGATATGGACTTGTGAGAAGTAAATTATGGCTAGAAGTCCATCATCGTGGGTTTGGTGATTCACTGTCTGTATTACCTACTCCTTCTGTTCTCTGTTTTCAATATGTATGAGTAAAGTAGCCCACCACAGGTCACAAACTATGGTGGTTTATGACAAGATACAAGTGGTATCTTGTCAACTATATTTTGGAAATAGTTGCTGAAATTGATTTTATCATTTTCCTTATGATCTGGCAAAGCATGGTAGTGTTTGATATCTTCATCACAGTAGCTTGGAATTTTACCTCTGTGGTGTGTTACTATTACTAAATAATTATTGAGCTGTGTGTACCAGTGAAGCCCTAGAGCTTTTTCTGGGCACTAAAATATTCTGTCATTTGGCAGTCAGCTGTTAGTAAAATGAAATGCTGTCAGCCAACACAACTCCATACCTACACAAAGGCAAGGTGTGTCCTGGACCATTTAGTAATACTGAACCTGTCTGATTTTGGAGCAAACTACAACTTGTGTCTTTGCACAGTAGCCAGTTTCTCTCCTTTTTTTTGACTCTTCGCAACCTTCTGGACAAAAACTTGGTGCTGTCTCTAGATTCTCATTTTTTTTTGCCAGAAAGGTACTTGTGCCAAATGGAAAGAGTATTTGCCTGATGCTATGAATAGCACATCTGTCTGGATCCCAAGACAATCCAGTCCTGTTCTTCAGTTCTCTTTGGACCGAGTCCTAAGCAACTAGTTTTCTTTCATAGCCAAGGTGCTGTGAATGACAAGGCCAGCTGACATACAGGAGGAATGCAATATGGAAATGCTGCTTATACTTTTCACTAGTGAAAGACAAAGTGAAGTAAAAGCAGTTTGTTTGTCACATTGACTGTGTACTTAATTGCTTGTTATTTCACTCCTGGCTGAATCTTGGATTCATGGTGAGGGAAAAATCTATGGTTTCTCAACTGACTTCCATTTCCCTTGGAATCAACCCTAATGAAAGGAGAAGGAAAACAGCTGAGTGGCCCCAGTGGATACTGTTTATTACCTGATTCCACAACTTAGTGTCACTAATATCTTGATTTTGTAAGTTCATACCCTTGCTGGTTTTAGTCCAATAAGATCAGCAGCCCTTCTCCCCAGAAACACCCAAATCAAGCTGTTCCTGTGGAATATATGATACTTACATTTATTCTGTTATGAAATGGACTGAGATACCTTAATTTGAAATTAATTTCTGGAGTTGCATTAAATTATTTTAAAAATTTTGAAGGCTATTAGAGATGGATTTGTACTGCCAAGACTGATACTCATTCTCTTTCCAATTATACAGAGATTAAGAACAGAAAGGGATTCTTTGAAAGAAACTATTGAAGAACTTAGATGTGTACAAGCTCAGGAGGGTCAACTCACTACTACAGGTAAAGGACAAATAAGGAGATTAAATGCCTCTTTCCTAAAGTGTACAGGAGTTTTCTGTAGAGTACTGAATGTGCTTTTGTTTAGCACAGAATAAATTTAAGCTCTTAAAAAATCAGCAGTGAAAAACTTCAACTATTCATAGCTTCATAAGCAAGCAAAAGCTTTGAATGTTATTTCAATCAATCGGAAATGTTTGTCTTTTCTCCAGTGGGATATTTTTATAAGGTATAATGGAATTCTACGTAGTTACATCATTTTCTTTAGAGGGATACTTTCTCATGATGTTTCCTGTGTTATAGTTCATTTGTATGTGTAATCTTTTGTACCTTTGTAGTTCTTAGATAAGATGAGCAGGAAATAAACTGCAATGTTATTTCTTCAGAATGGATAAATTAAGACTTAATGGTTCACCAAATGAAATGGTACTTGTCTGTCAGTCTTACTGTAGCCTGACATGTCATTTTACATTGTCAAGCAGTAGTCTAAAACTTCTAGAACAATGTCTACTTCTTGTCATATCAGAAAGTAAGTGGTGTGCTTTTCCTTTCTCAGGACTGATGCCTCTGGGAAGACAAGAGCCTTCAGACAGTTTAGCAGCAGAAATCATTACTCCTGAAATAAAGTAAGCTAATGCGTGCTTTGTAACCCATACAATCATCAATAGCAAGTTGAACATTAGTCAGCAGTGCCCTGGAATCCAGGAGCCAGCTGTGTCCTTGAGAGCATCAGGCACAGCATTGCCAGGCAAGGGAGGAGATTTTCCCGCTCTGCTCAGCTCTGGAGCTGAGTCCTGTGTGCAGTTTTGGGTGCCACAATATGAGAAGGATATAAAGCTCTTAGCATCCAGAGGAGGGACACAAGGGTGGTGAAGGGCCTTGAGGGGAAACTGTATTATGAACAGCTGAGGTCACTTGATCTGTTCAGCCTGGAGAAGAGGAGACTGAGCAGAGATCTTATGATGGTCTCTACCTTCCTCATGAGAGGAAAAGGAGGGACAGACACTAATCTCTTCTGTGTTGTCACCAGTGACAGGACCCAAGGGAATGGTCTGAATTTGTGTCAGGGAAGGTTTAGGTTGGATATTAGAAAAACATTCTTGTTGTTGCTTTGTTTTTGTTGTTTGGAGCTTAATGATGGTTCCAAAAGAACTGAGTATTTATGAGGAAGAATTGAGGGGAAGGCCGCAAGGCAGATACTCTGGTGGGTGTTTCATAGACCACTTATCGAGGATGCAGATCTTGAGATTGCTGGCCCTTCTTCTTATGGAGGACTTCAGCTTACCAGATGGCTGCTGCAAATGCAGCACAGCAGAAAGGGATCAGTCTAGGAAGTTCTTGAACTGTGTGGAAGATAACTTCATAACACAGCTGCTGAGCGGGCCAGCTAAGGAAGATGTGGACTCACTGTTTGTGAACAGGAAAGGACTGGTGGATGATGTGATGATCAGAGGCCATCTTGGGCACAACAACCACTGAATGAGAGAGTTTTTGATTCACAGAGAATTGAGAGGCCAGCATAACCTCGATTTTGGACTTTCACAGGGCAAACTTTAGGCCCATTGGCCTCTCTTAGTTGACAGAGTTGCTTGGAAGTCAGTCCTGAAGGGCAGAGGAGTCTGGGAGGGCAAGAAGGAGCAGTTAAGCTGTAGGAGCAGGCTGTTTCCATGTGTGAAACAGTGAGCCATCAGGAAGACTGGCTTGGTTGCACAGAGAGCTTGGGCCAGAGCTAGGAGTACAAAAGTTTATATCATAATTTGGAAGAAGGGCCAAAGCCACTCAGGAGGGCTACAGAGATGTGCCATTATGCAGGGAGAAAAGTAGATGGGCCAAAGCCTGACTAGATCATATTCTGTCTACTGCCAGAAAAAGACAATAAAAAAATATTTCTAGAAGTACATTCACAATTAAATGAGCGTTAAGGAGAATCTCAATCCTTTACTGATTGCAAGGAGAGCCATACCAGTAAAGGGCAAGGAAAAGGCTGACCTACTTAAAACCTTCTTTGATTGTAAGACCACTGACCTGGAAGACAGATGCAAGAAGCTGAGTAAAGCCTCCACAATACAGGGGGAAACAGTTCATGACCTGCTATGCTACTTAGACAGCAGCAAGTCCATGGCGGTTGGGATCCACTGAAGGGTACTGAGAGAGTGGCTGCAGACAGGTGTTGCAAAATTCACTCTGAAACAGTTTTTGATTGTGAACTAGAGCTGCTTGACTTAGTACTGTAGCAAGTAGAGGCAAGAAAGAACCAAGAGGCAGGCCAAGTGTGCGGAGGGTGACTCTGCCTAAGTGCTTCAACTCTTCAAGAGCCCAGGGCATCCCCCCAGTCCCTGCCCCACCATTCTATTTTCCAGCTGTGGGAAGAGGGTAACAATTTTAGGCACAGCTAGATGACTCGATCTTCTCAAGTGTGGCCCGGCTAGCTCAGTGATGAAGTTTCTCTTCACTCAAGTTTCGAGCCAGCATATGTTTGTGGGGTTCACTGATTTTCTTCAAGAATCCAAGTCTATAGAGCGAGTAAAGAAATCAGGGGGGGACTCTCTCTCTGGTTTGCATTCCACAGTTTATTTCTGTGAAGGGGAATCTAAAGGACGAGAGAACCCCGGGTTTGGGGTCTGGGGGGTCTCTTTTAACAGGGTTTCTCGGAGGGAGGGAACATCAGAGAAAGAACCAATTATTTTTCTCAGTTAGTACATCTTACAAACTTTCTACAAATCAAGGTTACACACAAGAAGATAAGAAATAACAGACACCAACTTCTTCAAATGCCCTCAAAGGTGTAGGAGTATTCTCCGCGGAGGGGGAGAGAAGTGGGGAGGCTGGTTTCCTGGCAACACAGGGGGGAAAGAAAGGGAAGGCAAGGTAAGCATGCCCTCTCAGCTTCCATAGCTCAGAGGCATTCTGGGACAGGAAAAACAGAGTTACAAACTTCCGTGTGGAAAGAAGGGTCTCCTGGGCTAAAGAACTTCAAGCATCTGGAAATGCCAGCAGGGTCCTCTCTTTATCCAGCCTTGCCGTGGGGCTGAGGAGAGAAACTTCAGTAACCATGGTAACCTGACGCCAGCTAAACAGGAGAAAGAGAAGCTGCAGGGGGAAATCACAACTAAAAGATGGGAAAAGATGCATTTCAAGCTATCAACTACAACAGCTAGATATGGAATACAATACCATTTTGGGTTACTCAGGACTGTGTTGATCTGCTGGAGGGTCAGAAGTCTCTGCAGGGGAATCTGAACAGGTTGTGTCAGTGGGCTGAGGACAGTTGTATGAGGTTCAACATGGCCAAGGGCTAGGTCCTACTCTTGGGTCACAACAACCTGTACAGTGCTACAGTTTGTAGAAGAGTGACTGAAAAGATGGACAGTGGGAAGTAATTGTAGAGTCACAGAACAGCTTGGATTGGAAGGGACCTTAAAGATCATCTTGTTCCACCTCCACTGCCATGGGTGGGGACACTTTCCAGTAGACCAGGTTGCTCAAATCCCTATCCAACCTAGCCCAGAACACTGCCAGGTATGGAGCATCCAGAACTCCCTTTGCCATTGCCTCCAAGCCTTTAAAGTAAATAATTTCTGCTTAATATCTAATCTAAACTACCCTTTTTCAGTTTAACACCACTCTGCTTTGTCTTGTCTCTCCATGCTCTTGTAAAAAATCCTTTTCCAGCTCCCTTGTTCAGTCTTTCAGGTACTGTAAGGCTGCTCTAAGGTATCCTGGAGTCTGATCTACAACTCCAGCTCTGTCAGCCTGTTTTCATAGGTGGTCCATCCCTGTGGTCACCTTACCGGGTTCCTCTGGACACACTTCCATTAGTTGACATACTTCCTGTGCTGGGACCCCAGAGCCGGATGCAGGGTTCCAGGTGCAGTGTCACCAGAGCAGAGCAGAGGGACAGAATCCCCTCCCTCCCCTGCTGCCCACACTGCTTTGGATGCAGCCCAGGACACGTTTGGCTCTCTGGGCTGGGAGTGCCCATGGCTGGGTCATGTCCAGCCTCTCACCCAGCAGCACCCCCAAGGCCTTCTAACAGGGCTGCTCTCTGTCTCTTCATCCCTCAGCCTGGACTGATACCAGGGGTTGCCATAGGCTAAGTGCAGGACCTTGCAGTTGGCCTTGTTGAATCTTAAGAGGTTTTCATGACCCCACCAGTTCAGTTTTGCCAGGTTCCTGTGGATAGCACCTGTTGTTCTGGTGTGGGTTTGGTGGTGTTTGTTGACAGCAGCTAAAGATGAACCATTGAATGCTCAGGTGGCCAAGAAGGCCAGTGGCATCCTGACCTGTATCAGCACTTGAGTGTTCAGCAGGACTAGGGCAGGGATTGTCCCCCTGTACTTGGCACTGGTGAGGCCACATCTCAAGTTCTGTGTCCAGTGTTGCACCCCCTCACTAGAGGAGACACTGAGGGGCTGGAGTGTGTCTGGAGCAGGCCAAGTGAGCTGGAGAAGGGCCTAGAGAGTTAAGTCCTAAGAGGAGCAGGAGGCTGTTTATCCTGGAGAAAGACTCAGGAGTGATCTTATCATTCTCTGCAACTACCTGAAAGGAAGTTGTAACAAGGTGGGGGGGTGGTCATTTTTCCTGAAGCTGTGCTGGGGAGGTTTAGATTGGATATTGGGAACCATTTCTTCACTGGGAGGGGTTATCAAGCATTGCACCCAGGGAAGTGATGGAGTTGTTTTCCCTCGTTATTGCTGTGTAAAAACTCGCTTGCGGTGAGAGACTTCTCCAGGGTATAAGAGTGTTCAAGTATAAGCAATTTATTATAAGGGTAAAGAGAGGGGAGACCCGTGTCTGCCACGGCGTCCACGTGGTCAGGGGGAGGGGAGAGAGAGTGTGGAGAGCAGGGAGGAGAGGTTAGAAAAGGGGAGGGAGGGCATAAGAGCAACAGAGGGAAAGAGGGAAAAACCAGGGAGGCTTATGAGAGAGGGGGAAGACAAGAGAGGAATAAGAGGGGAAAAACCAAGAGGGTAAGAGTAAGAGAGGAAAAGAGTGGAATAGGTAAGAGAGGGGGAGAAGGGAGCTGAGAGAGGGGTAAAGGGGTAAGAGAGAAGAGCCAGGAGGTATGAGAGAGGTTAAGAGAGAAAAGCTAAGAGAGCGAAGTTCTTGTTACAATCCAATATATCTTTTTCTATAGTAAATATTCTAATTCTCAGTAACCAATCACTATGAGACACACCCACTACAGAATTTACATACAGCCTATGTGCTTCCCTATATTAACATAGAGTGTTGCATTTTAGACTCTACAAAGCTTTACAAGTTCTCTCCTTGCTTCTTGACCTTTGGACTTTCTGTCAGCAGAAGGACATTGTTTTATCAACAGGGATTGTCCTCTAGCTGGCTAGGCTATTGTTCTTTGGTTAACCAGTACTCAGTATCCCATAACTCAAAGCAGGCTCTCATTTCTACTTCAGTTTTAGCCTTCATATTTTCAGAATCTTCTGCCAAACAATCACATTCGTAAGGTTTCCCTGTTTCACCCTCCCCAACACCTGGTGGTGTTTAAAAGATGTGTAGATGTGATGCTTACAGTACATGGTTCTATGGTCCACTTGGCAGTGCTGGGCTTATGTTGGATCTTGCTGAAGAGTCTTTTCAACCCAAATGATGCTGTGATTCTGTGTAAACAGGTTCTGTGCAATCATTGAAGTGGCTTACTCAGGTTTATGCAGTAGTTCAGTGACAGCTGAGTTTACAGACTCACATTTCAGATTACAGTCTTTCTTCACACTTGGTATTAAGTTTTGCATTCTCTGTTCTTTCTATAAATCTGTTGAGCTGTACTCTGAGATCTGATGGGGCCACTGAGGTAATTTCCTTGTGTTCTGCATTCTGCAATTACAACTCCTTAAATTTGGTTTATATTTTGGGGCTTGAAGATATGATTGTTGTTGCAGCATCTCCCTTAAAAAGATGATATTCATATTACTATTTTACTTCCTGTGGTAAGCTGTTTACTTTGCTATAGATATTGGCATTCTTTTTTTCACACAACTGTGTTCTCCCTAATTGCGTTTAGGGAGAAACTCATCCGCCTTCAGCATGAGAACAAGATGTTAAAGTTGAACCAAGAAGGTTCTGACAATGAGAAGATTGCCTTGTTGCAGAGCCTTCTTGATGATGCAAACTTACGGAAGAATGAACTGGAGACAGAAAACAGGTAATAAATTTTGTCCTCTGCTTCAGCTGACTTTCCTACAGGCATCCCCAGGAGAAGAATGACATGATTTAATGGAATCAGTCCTGTGAAAGGTCATAAGGATGTGATTACAGGACTGCAGAGTCTTTTGTATGAGTAAAGTCTGAGGGATAGAGACTATGGAGCCTGGAAAAGAGAAGGCTTAGGTTAGATCTTGTCACTGTATCTTACCAAAATGTATGATGGGAGGGTCTGAAGAAGGTGGAGATAGACTCTTGTCAGTAATACTCAGTAACGGGGCAAGAGGCTGTGGGCAGAGTTTAAAACACACAGTATTTCATCCAGATGTAAGAACATACTTTTTTTCACTGTGAGGGTTGCTGAGCTCTGTAGCATGTTGCCTAGAGAGGTTGTCTCCATTCTTGTAGATATTTAAAACTCAGCAGGACATGTTCCTCAACAGCTTTCTCTAGCTGACCCTGCTGGATTGAGCCAATCAGCATATGGACATCATCATAAGGACCAGACAGAGTGCATCAGAGCATGCCACAGCATTTGGCTGATAGTGATGGGAGGCTGCTTTCTCTCTAATCTTCAAATCTGTTCTTTATCTAATCTTCCCCTATCTTCCCCTTCAACTGGGGGAGGTGCCTTAAGCCTGAAAGAAAGTAAATACTGCACTCACCTTCAAGAAGAGCAGGAAAAAGAGCATGAGGGGTTACAGGGATTGGTGAGCCACAGCTTGCTTTCTGGAAATTTCAGAAAGCAAGTCCATTTGCAATTGATTTCCAGCCATATGAGAGATAGGAAAGTAATTGGCAAATGTCAACATGAATTTACTTAGAGCAAATCATGCCTAATTAATTGAGTTGTCTTGACAATGAGATGACTGCACATGTGAAGAAAGGTGAAACAGGGGACAGTACTTAGCTTTAGTGAAGCTTTTGATAAAGTGTCCCATGGTATCCTTATGTTCAGAATGGCTAGATATAAACTAAATAAGTGAACAGTAAAGTGAACAAAAAAAACCTTGGACAGTGATCAGACATCTGAGCCTAAGGTAGTATTATTGTCAGTGAGGTGAAACCCAGCTGGCAACCAGTTTCTTAGTCATCAGTACCAGTATCCGCACTGTTCATCACCTTTATTAACAGCTTCACTGATGAGAAGGGTAATACTCGGCAAGTTTGAGAGTGGTACCACTTTGGGATGTCCTGAAAGCGAAAGCTGTTCTTCAGAGGCGCTCAACAGTACAGAGAAATGAACTGGTTGGACCCCTGTCCCTGGCTGTGAAGCAGCTCTACTACAGAAGCCCTGGCATCCTAGTGGGTGGCAAAGGAGGATGTGTTATCTGGGGACCTTGAAGCTGTCTGTGATCTGGACTGTCCTCACTGAGGTGCAGGCAATCAGTCTGGGAAAATAATTGTTTGCCTCTCATCAACTTATGCTGTCACATCTGGACAGAGCATGTAATTTTGGATTCCCCAGTACCAGAGAGATGTGGATGTGTAGAAGTTCAGCAGAATACTACTAGGGTGAGAGACACTGGAACGTGTGATAGGTGGGATAAAACGGAGAACTGGTTTTGTCCAGGCCAAAGGATAGGTGACATAGAGGAGAGTGCATTGTGAACTGCATCTGTCTGATGGCAAGGTAGAAAGAAGACAGATTTGAGCTGTTCTCAGGAGATTATTAGTGTAAGGACAAGAGGCAACAGACAAAATATGGAGTATGGGTTCTGAGCTCTCAAAGAGAAGCCCAAAGAGACTGTTAGACCTCTGTCCTTACAAGTATTCAAACCTGGTACTGGATATGGTTCTAGCAATCTGCTGTTAAGTGCCCCTGCTTTATGGAGGAGGTTGGATCTAGGCAACATCCCTTCCAACCTACAGGTTTATGGGGTTCTGTAGCAGTGTAAAAGCATAAGCTAGCTGCTCACACAGTAAAACTGACAGTTAAAAGGTCTTCTTTTGTGTATATAGAACTGATTTCTGCATGCATTTATGTTTGCCTTGAGAATATGAGAATGTTCTGGATGACCATCTGAATGTTATAATCTCTGGAACTGCTGTAATCTCTATCTACTGCTGTAATTTTTTCTTGAGTAACTTACAGTATTGCATTTTTTTGTATAGATAATCTGAAAGCACTGGATAATCTGAGACTTCCTCTTGCATTTTGTTTTTTTTTCTGAAAAACAAATATTATCACTTTTCTAGGTTGGTAAATCAGAGACTTCTGGAAGTACAGTCCCAGGTTGAAGAGCTGCAAAAATCTTTGCAGGATCAAGGTTCAAAAGCCGAAGATGTAAGTAGAAATGTACCACAAACTTACATTCGAGTAGCTACTGTTTTTTAACCTTTCACGTTTTTATTAAAAAAAAAAAGTAAAAGAATTATACAAACTGAGATTAGTAGTTTTTTGTATTTACCAGTAAACTGTGCTTCTTTAACTGGGATGCAAGACAATTGTCTAAAATAGAAAACCATCCCATGTAGAGAAGGTGTCATACATGTTTTATTTGAATAATTGTGTCTGTTGCAATAGAAAACTCAACATTAGAATTACTTAATTAGAATAGAGAACTTTGCAGGGACTTGAGGAAACGTTGATTCTCCATGAATAAAGCATCTGAGCTTCTTTTGGGTTTAGTTTTCTTAATGGAAGTTAAGGTCTTTCCAGGCACTGGAAGGTCTGTAATTCTTCATGTAAATGTATCTCAGAATGAAAAAAGACAGGCAGACCAAAACTAATAAAAAAGTCAAATAATCTGGCCCTCAACACACTGCAGCATTTTCTGTTTGTGTACAGAGTTAACCTTCTTTTAAATGTAAGACTACACATTGTAACTGAGTTAGTGTGGAAAACAACTTTCAGTCTTCCACTCAAAAATTGTTTATTGTCTCCTGTATTCAAAAAAGAAGCTCTAGAACTTCCTTGAAAGCAGCAATTTGTTGAACTGTACATGCATAGTGTATGCTCACAATCTCAGTGTATCATGTTGCTAATTGACAACAAACTGTAATGTGCTGCTTTCTATTTTTGTGGGTTTGTTTTATCTAATTTATATAAAATAGTGAAAGTCTTTTTACTAGATGCTTATGTTCATTTAAGAGTGTGTTAAATTTAGTTTACTCTTTTCATTTTCAGAATAAACTATATGAATGTTCAACACCTAGTTGATTTCCAACAAGATTATTTTCCTGAGTAACTTAGAAAGCGTTTTAGAATACATGTTAAAATAGGTCTATTCTGAGATGTTCTTTGCTGTCTTGATCATCGCCCAAAATCTTTTCAGGGTGAACAAGAATATGAAATAATTATTTTCAAATACTGTGTATTTGATCCCTGTCAAATTGTATTTGGCTTTATTTACTGCAATTTTAATTGTGCCCCTTTTGAGGCTCTGGCTGGGGTGTGTCTGCATTCATGACTTCTGTGTTGGTCTGACCATAGCAGCGGTGATTTATAGACACTGATCCCATGGCCTGTTTTGCTAAGTTTTGGTTTCATTTACTCTTAAGGAAGCAAAAGAGTGAGTGTAGATTCAGGGAAGCATTGAGTATGAAGAATCTCTAACATTGTGGTCTCCTCATGCCATCTCCCTTGTAAAGCAGAGCAAATCTCAGAAGTTAAACCCCAGCTGCTGAAGGAGATAAAAGTTGTGCTGAGACTACCTGAGTGATCTGTAGAATAGCCATACAAAAAGAGGGATTCTTCTGAAACATATGAAGAAGCAATAGGAGAGACATGGCATACCGTTCACCAGTATATAATTTTCAACTCATTTCCTCTATTTTTTGCTATTTTTCTGCAACAATGCACTGAAATTAGTATTTTTACAAATTTATACTATAAATGTGCTCAAACCAGAAAATTGGCACTTCATTTTAATTGAGTCCAGAAATGCATGGTGAGAGTTCAGGTTTGTTTTATGTTGGGTTTTTGTTTTCTTTTCTTTTTAGTATTGTTTGGTTTTAAAGCTGAAGATTTTTTTAAACATGCCCAAAAATATGTAGAAGCAGTGTTGTAACCCTGGCAAGTGTCCTTGCAGCATTACATGCTGCGTGCCAAGGCCCACAGCAGCAAGCAGTTTTGGTTTTGTATTGAAGTGCAGTGGAAGGCAGCTCTGTGTCATTGGGCCTGTAATGGGCACTGACACATTCTGTTGGGATGCATGATTAGTCCATCCTGAGTGTTACCTTGCTAGCCAGGCAAAGGCCTCCTTACCCTCATCTTTCAGGCTACAGAATCAACTCACATGTGTCTGCTGTGTTCAGAATAGGCTTGATTTACTGTCCTCCAGAATGCAGTAGTCATGTGGGGCTACTCAGCAGTTACCTGAACAGCTTCAGCTACACCATTTGCATGTCTTCTCACTGTCTTTTATCATCATTGTTCTCCTGTTCTCTGCCCTAATCTCTTCCTATATAAACACCCTGCCTTTAGCTAATTCTGCCCCACTTGTTAAATCCATCCCACGCCTAATGTTTTTCATAATGTAACATATGCAGTCTTGGCCTTACATGCTGTTACTGATGCAACAACCCAGAACTCTGTTACCTCTGCACTTACCCATGAAGTTGAGGCACTTTTTCATTTGGTGAGACACTGGAACAAGTTGCCCAGGGAAGCTGTAGATGCCTCATCCACGGAGTATTCAAGGCCAGGTTGGACAGGGATCTGAGCAACCTGATCTGAAGGTGCTTGTTGCAGGGGGCTGAACTTTATAAGTCCCTTCGAACCCAAACCGTTCTGTCATTACTCTCAGCATCCTTGAAATCTGACCATCTGTCATGGTGCTGATTTGTGACTTTGATCACCTCACAGTGTTAGTGATCTTATCCAGCAGTCTTATGAAGTGACCCATAGTTTCCCATACTCTGCAAAGTTAGCTTAACCTCAGGCCAGAACCGAGCCATCTGCCCCTAAAACTAAACCAAATTTTGCCCTGAGAAAGGGGATAGGCTTGTCCTGTTCCTTTGACTTGTTTAAGCGTGAAAGGAACTTCAAGCAAAAAGACTTATTTCTGTAGTGTTTAGGAGACTCATCTTCCTAGGAGAAAATAACAATTAAAGTAACTACGTTTTAGATTTGTACGAGTTTTTAAAGCTTACTGATACTGCTGAAATCCCAGAAGTAAAGTTTGCCTATTTTCAGAGTGATCTGTTTGAATTTATCTGCCAAGTGTATACAGGATCTTTGGGTGCCTAGAATGGCACATTGAGTGTTTTAGTCTCTTTCCTAGTCGTGTGCCTTGAGTAAATTAAAGTGGGTAAACTAATTACTGCTTCTTTTAATTGTTTGGGCTGTTTATCACACTTAGTTTCTTGCTTGTGAAAACGTGATCCATCTTGTTGGGGGAGGGGTTATTCCCTCAGTAGTGCATGTACTAGCTAAGTAATGCACCAGTGGAATCAGTGTTGACTGATAGTTATATCTGTTTCAAGATAAACCCAAGTGCAATACAAGGATCAAAAAAAACCAACAGAGTTCAGTTTTGATTTTGTGACCTTAGGGAAGTGGGTGCTGCTTCCAACTTTTTTCCTTTCTTGTTCTAGGCAGCTAGTAGTCCCCTAAATGATCGGATATAAGTGATGGGGAGAGTTCAAGTGATTTGTGACTGATAAAGATGCATACAAATATTTAAAAAAGGTAGTGCTGCAGTTGTTCAGAGGACTGGAAAATGAAAAAATCATTTGGTCAAAAATTGCAGATCCTTAGCTGCTGCAAATTTCTGACTCTGAAATCAGTAGAGCCATATTGACTTGTTTTTATGGCTCCCCACCTTTCTTGTCATGCAATAAGAAAATCTCTTTTGTAATAATGAAAAAACATGCCCCAAAAATGTGATCAAAGACAATATTTTTGAAGTATCACCAAACTAAAAAGCTTTTTGAGTGCACACGGTAATTTTTTTCTGCTAGCAAGATGACTAAATCTTTTTGAAGGAACATTGGAGGAAAAACAATTAAGTAATTTTGTTGATTATTTTAGCTTATATTTTGATGGTGTTGTGGACCATCAGTCACATGCTAGCCCTTCCATGTGATCAAAACAGTATAAATACAAGCTAAAAAAACAGTTGCAGATTTAAATATGTTACATTTGCTTTGTATTCAATCAGTGTGGCAATAATGCAATTCAACATCACACCACAAAAACACCCGCATTTATTAGTTCTGGTTGTAGCCCAACAGACTGGCTATTTTCCTTGGTTTTGTTAGTTGTATGACTGTTGTTTTAAAATTATTTTCCAAAATAGCAGTTGATTTCCTTTAGAATTATGATTTAAACACAATGATTTGTGAATGTGCATCTTTATTATTTTTATATTTTTGGGTTTAGTGACATGTTTTAGAAAATGTTACAAGATGAAATTGTTCATGAGAACAGAGGAAGAAATTGCACATGTGTGAAAAATACATAGCTTTAACTTTCTCTGTTCATGACTTTCTAAATAGTTTCTTCTGTTGGCTGCTGTTTTGCTTTATACTAATGTCATCTCTGTTTCTTGGCATGGGCTTCTGCTCAAGGCTATTGTGAGTATGGCTTTCTATTTACTTAACACTACTTTCAGTTCATAAACATTTATTGAGTTTGGGTTTTTTTTCCTTTTGAAAGATACTCACTGTGTATGAAGTGAGTTTAAAATTTAAAAATTACTTCAAAGTTTTTATTCAAATAGCCTATCTAAATGTGATATAACCAGAAAGTGGAACACTGTAAGTTGTACGGTGATTTTCATGTGTCTGTAATCCATAAAGATAAGAAACACCAAAAATGTGACATTTATGCTACACTGCACTTAGAAATACTCTACTTCTTCTTGTCTCTGTGGGGATGGGAATTTACTTTCAACTAATTTGCTACATGTCTTCATGCAAGTTGCAATGCAATATTGGCAGGACAGCGCTTGCAAATTTTGCTGCACTTTCCAATACAAAGTACTGAACAAATTGAAACAACTGCCTTAAAAATTCTGTCATTTATGGATATTGCTTTTATTGATTTAGTTCTTGGGACAAGATTTGTAAAGTTCTAAAGGGTTCTACTTTTACTAAAGTCACAAATCTGAAGAGAAAGTTTCCTACCACAGAGGCTTTACAGTTGTGATCTAAAACTGTAGTTAAAAAGTTGGTTTTTGATTAGAATGTCAAAACTGCATGTTCTAAAATAATTTTTAAAATATGTTAGCTTTAACGTATTTTATATTTTCACAATACATTAAAATAAAACATTTAACTTTCTGTTTTAGTCAGTTCTTCTGAAAAAGAAACTTGAAGAACATCTGTAAGTATTATTGTTTGCTTATTTTGTATATAGTTGGAAATGATGTGTTTTTCCATATAATGAGGAAGGCAGACAGTCATTAATCATGGATCTGTAAAATATACAACTAAGAGAGATTAGATAACACAGGAATATTTGGGAGTCTACTGTTCAGGTTCTGTTTTTTTCCCATAGAAAACCATTGTGAAAGTAAGAGCAGTGAGGGACCCATCATTTTGTGTCGGGTAGAAAACTTTGCATAACATTGTGCAAATCTTTGCTCAAGAGGACTGAGTAATTTTTTTCTGAGGAGAGCATGTTAATATAAACAAAATTAATTAATTTTCTCTTTGCTATACATTATGGCATAGAAGGTAGCACTTTAGGAGGTGTTATCATTTTGTTGTGCTATTTTTGCATATCTTTTACTTCCCTAAAGAATATTTGCTTTTTGAGTGTCTTGCAAAAAGAAGTTTCTCTTGCCCTTGGGTTTGGCTGTTCTTTCCTCAATGTAATATCAGTTATAAATAAGTATTCATTTTAGGCCCTCATTGTACAGTGAATTTATACTAAATTAAGTACAGTTACTGACAGAGTTTGCTGTTGGAGTTCTCCATACAGGACAATGTTTTTTCATCTTATCTAGTAAATATTTCTACAGTGATATTGTCACTTGTCCTCATGCTCTGCAGGAAAAAAAAAATCAATCATGCCCTTAGAAATAATCTCTCTATGAGGATTTTCTGTACTGCTTAGTTCTCATTTCAAGCACAGTAATAGATTGGGAAACAATATATGCTTCTGTGGTTTGTAACAGTGAGAAGCTCCATGAAGCTAACAATGAGCTACAGAAGAAACGAGCTATTATTGAAGATTTGGAACCAATATGCAACAACAGTTGTGAGTTACCTGTGCAGTCCATTTATTTCCTTTGTAAATTACTTAATGTGCAACATCTTTAATTATAGTACCTAAAGAAGGTGTCAGGTAAGCAAAACGTACATTTTTAGTGGAAGTGACACATATGTTGTTCATGTCTCTGGAAACTAGGGTGACCAAAAAGATGCTTTTAACACTTTCTAAACATGGGAATCACATTTTAGGAACACTGTAGTAAGAAATCATAGAATCATAAAATGCTAAGATGTTAGAATGAGCCTTAAAGATAATCTAGTCCCAAACCACAATGATGTTTGCCATAGAAATACCAGCTCACTGCCATACCTGGTGTCGAACTTCAGCTCTCCAGAACTGTCATGTCTCATAAGACCCTAATTTAGAAGATCCTTGCTGTTGTCACTGACTCATTTTTACTTCCAACGTATATTCCTTCAATGTGTTTTCAGAAACGTGTTGTAATTTGAGAAAACTTTCCATTACCGGTAAAAGGAGAATGTAAGATAGATATCATATTTGCTCAGAGGGTATGCAGAACCCTGCATCTAACTGGTTTTTAGCTGCATTTTTTCCAGAGAAGTAATAAGGGAGGTAGTCTGGATGTTTTGAAAGACTAGTTATTCTAGAACACGGCAGAAGATTGTAACCCATGGCAGCTGCTCTAGTTTGTGGTAAAATTTTGTTCATAATGAGATGGATGAAAAAGTATGATTTTGTTTTCTGAGATCTGAGAAGTTTTATAGAAGATGTAGAAGTAATAGTGGCATGACATTCTTACACCAACACAAGAAAAATGTGTGCAGTTAAATTGTCCTACTGATCTCAATTGCTGCTTAAGAAAGTGTGAGGGGGAAATTAAATTAGTATGTTCATGTTACAGTTTAGTAGATTTAAGCAGGAGTTGTGCCTCTTAGGAATTATTCCTCTTACATAAAATAAGAAAAATCATATTTGCCTGTATGACATGCCAAGATTATATTAGCTGTAAGTCATTAGTAGACCCATTTTCTAAACGTGTTCAGTGACATGATTACTTTATAATTCCATTTCTCTTTATTTGTCATAATTTTAAAAAGCAAAACTATGTCCCAAAAAATCCATTTTATGAGATTTTATAGGAGTACATATTTTTAATGTGTTTCTGAGCTATACACTAATTAGATCTGTGATATGTACCACATTAGATTTCTTATGTCAGATTTTCTTAACTGAAATATATTTTAGCTGTGTCTTAAGTGCCTGTTGTAAAACATGAAAATGTGCATAATGTAATTGAAGTTGTTTTCCAATGTGTGCATCTCCTGACATAAAGCACTTAAAATTGAGGAATTACAAGAAGCACTACGGAAAAAGGAGGAGGAAATGAAGCAAATGGAAGAACGATACAAAAAGTACTTGGAAAAGGCCAAAAGTGTAAGTAGATGTGTTCCACATTAATTATCCCTGTCTGACAGAGACTGTATTACGTGTCCACTCTGTGGGAATAAAAACGAAGGAGGTATCTGTATACACACTAATAAGTTAAAGAGAAGGAAGCTTCATTGTTTCAGTATGGATTAATTGTGCAGAAGATTGCCCCAGTTTTGAGGCTCTTTTATTGATGCCTTTTTGCAGTAAAGTGATCTTTTTGACTGGATCACCTTCAGTAGTTGTTAGATTTCTCTGATGATGTTTGGCATTCTCTTTTGCCTTTATTGCTTAATATATGCTTGTCAAGAAGGTGACTAATATTTAAGTATTGACAACATAACTAGTAGCATGGTTATACTACTAGCTTTGAAATGGTAATATTGTGGTCTTAATCATAGTCCCATTTCTTCTCTTACTATACATTGCTCTTTTGAGTTTCTTAAAAGCATATCAGTGTCCTTAAATGCATATCATTACATTGGAATCCATGAGTAGGTTCCTAATTTGGCAAAACTTTATGCTTTCTTCCTTTACTTCTGTGGAGTTTCCTGAATGACTTCTTGTGAGAAGTCTTCAGGAAGTCTAAAAAAATTTCTCCTCTGTCCCCCTGCCCTGCCATTTTATATTGGTTGTTGTGTCTTAGAGTATATTCCTCTGAAAGACTTTACCCTTTTCTGTAAGATTCGTTTATTGGTGTGTACTGTGTTACTAAAGGGTATTTTATGCACCAGTAGCATTAATTAATTAGGTTAACTTTTTGTAATATTTCTGTTTGGTTTGGGGTTGGGTTTTTTTGAGGTTTTTTTTGTTTCTTTTTCTTTTTGTGGTTTTGATGGGTTTTGCTGCAGGGTTTTTTTGGGGTTTTTTTCGTAGAATCCTTATAGTCTTCTGCTATGGAAGCTGTATCCAGGTCTAATGAGTATTTTCTTAGAAAAATAACATTCTTTCTTAGAGTAGAATTTTAGAACTATTTAGGTTGGAAGAGATCTCCAAGATCATTAAGTGAGCTTTCTACTGATCACAACTGTGTTAATGAAATCATGGCACTAGGTGCCACATCCAGTTCCTTGAATGCCTCCAGGGATGGTGACTGCACAACCTCCCTAGGCAGCCCATTCCTATGCTTAACAATCCAACCTAAAGCTTCCCTGGCGCTGCTTGAGGCCCTGTTGTCTCATCCTGTCACTGGTTGCCTGGGAGAAGAGGCCACAACCCCCACCTGGCTACAACCTCCTTTTAAGCAGACAGTGATAAGGGCTCCCAGAGCCGTCTTTTCTCCAGGCTGAACACTCCCAGCTCCCTCAACCACTCCTCACAGCATCATGTTTACCATAGAGTAAAAATGTCTCACTAAAATTTAAAGCATTGTTTTATTTCAGCATCCTATACTCAGCTCTGAAATAGGTAGAAAGAGATGAGAAGTCTATTTCTCTGTAGCCAGAGGTTGTTAAAGAGTTTCAAGCTATTTTCTATTAAAGTCTTAATTCAGGCATTTTTCTGAGTTTGTTCTTGGTTTTAGCTCTGTTGACTAGCACTCTTGGGTGACACATACAAATGTACCCGGTGTCCCTTCATCTTTTTAGTAGCATAACAATTACGTATGTCCCACAGAGTGCTTTTTGGCTTAATAGAGCAACCTAGAAGTTACAGCACCTGGTACCCCAGGTAGGTGAATCCTGGCAAATATCCATAAGGACAGAAGCAGTCCTTCATCAAGCAGGAGAAACTGACAGGCAGGAAAACCATAACCATAAAGGGAACCTTATAGAAGTTGTTTCTGTCACCATGGCCCCAAGGTAATGTAGCCTAGGTTAGGAACTGCAAATGTCAGTCTGGGGTACTAAACCTTTTACTTTTTGTTGTCAGTAGTTTTGTTTCCCAGTCCTGTAAAGGTGACCCCAGTTCAGATGCTCTAATATGTCAGAGTTGATGAGAGAGGTAGACATATTTTAAGTTACTTTTTTTTTTTAATTTCTTAACCTGACTTGAAAGGTTTTTATTCCTTAACACAATTGCTTTTGCAGGACTTAATAAAAAACAAACTGGTTTTCTCTTACAGGTCATCCGCACATTAGATCCTAAACAGAACCAGGGTGCTGCTCCTGAGATTCAGGCACTGAAAAACCAGTTGCAGGAGCGGGACAGAAAGTTTCATTCCCTGGAGGTAGTAATCCTTACATTTTGTGGTAAAAACTCATTGGTTTTTAGTTAGAGACTAATAGTTTTATTATACTTTGCCTTTAAATATATGGATTTTTGTTTTATAGAAAGAATATGAGAAAACAAAGAGTCAAAGAGAAATGGAGGAGAAATTTATCGTTAGTGCCTGGTACAACATGGTAAGAATCTCACAAACCTTTTAATTGAGAAGGAAATGAAAAGAAAGAAACTATTAATATTATTTGTTTCTAGTAGGTTTATAACAGTGTTCATTCATTTACATGAATTTACATGCTTTTTTTGTTTGAAAAGCATTTTCCAATACACGAATACAGAAGCAAATACTTTCTAGTAATCTTAAGTTATCTCTATGTTAAAGTATGTTCCTGTCATAACCTTGTGAAAAATAAAAAAAGAAGTTTGTAATTTTCAAGTCTTAAAATCAAAAAATGGCCCAGATTACTATTTTCTAATCCCAGCCCTTCACTTACACAAATTATAGTGCTCAAATTTATTTTGATTCACCACTCTCTAGTCTTCCAGTTGTTTGTAATGAAGGGACACAAAGCAATTCATCTTACTTGCAGTTCAGGTGAAGTGCTCTGAGAAGTGACCCTTTAACTTGGGTGCAAATTTAGCCCCATAGAAAGAGTGAGGGAATCAGCAAGACCCTCACTTAAATTGTTCAAAGTGTAAGTTTGGATAGAAGATGGAGCCTGTGCAGCGGTACAGCGTTTGCTGGGCCTATGTACCAGGAGAGTTGTTACCCACATCAGATGTGTTCAAGACTTCCCTTTGGCAGACCAGTTGGATTGAGACTGCTCTTCATCTGTTACTTGACATCTGCTCTTGACACCTGTAACTTTAATGTTTCATTTTGCTCCATCATAGAATTCAAATTCCTCCTCTCTATATTTCTTTGGAAGAGTTTTCTTCTTGCTCTTCTACATCCTTCTTGTGTTCATGAATAGCAAGTCTAAATTCAAGCAGTGTTTGAATTGTTTGCATATTGAAGGTATTTTCAAGTGACCAGTGTCCTTTGCCAATTTTATAACATTAGTCCCACTAACAAGTAGAAGACAAACCTGAGGTAAGACCCCCACAGTTAAATGAGCTATCATGAACACTAAGATGATCACTGATAGCAGTGTCGGTATCATTCTTTAATTAGCCTCTGCTTTTATATACAACTGCACAAGCCACCACAGCTCTCTTCATTTCCTTGTTGAGTTTTAGCCTGATGAGAACATCCTGTCTCCCAAGATGTGCTTCTGACATATGAGCTGGTATTTCCACAGAGGATGACAATACCTAAACTTTTTTTCAGAAGAAACATACTGAAAGGAGCTAGGAAC